AGCGGCGGAGGCAGCGGCAGGGGCTGGGGCGTGGGACTGGCTTGTGGCGGGCCGGTCGGTGGGTTTGGCCCGCGAAACCTGGTTGGGGTCAGAGGTGAACGAGGCGCTTCCCGATCGGCTTTCCGGACGGTGTGGGAGGAAGACGGGTTCCCAGAGACTCATTGGGTCGCGAAGGGGCCGAGTCGGATTTCCTGGCGGATGCCTCCAGTGTATTCCGCTCGGTGCTGCTCAACGGCGCTTTTAATTTTTTAGACTCACTTTGGGGATCCAATTAAAGGTATTTCTGGAAATTTGTAAGAATTTTGCGTTGCCCTTGTTGGCGGGGCCGGGGGGAGTTCTTTGGTGTCCATATTGAATAAAGGCTGGTCGTTTTATTCTGGAGGTGGTGGCGTTTTATAGGTAAAACCTAAGCTTTTAACAGAAGGTCATGCGATTGGAAGAGATGTAGGACAGTGGAATTGTTAGCAACGTTTAGAATTTGATTATTGCTGGCTCTTTCTGTGGTTAGTGGGCGTTATGAAATGAACTTGGAGAATGATTACTCCTGGAAGCTTCTCCCATTAACCATAGCATAACTGAGGGACTGCGTTTTCCTGAGTACAATTATGCTAAGTGCATTTTAGGCTTATGATACTTCCAGTTTAAGAAAGGTTTATCCGTATAGAACCCCATTGTATATTGAGCATCCGGTCATCAAAGTCCAGGACTTAAAATACAAAGTTATTAGGAGTTTTGGAGGTAGAGTGAGTAAAATGTGCTATGGTTGATCGCCATAATATGAAGTTAGATCAGAATTAAGAAGGATATTAGTCTCTGAGCAGAATTTAAAAATTTTAAAAGCCTAGCCAAAAAAAAAAAAAAAAGAATCTAGAAAGTAGGTGCTGGTTTGAATGGTCAGAAGGTTGTAATGTTAGGAAGAACCTGAGATTAGAAATTGAGAGTCCAGAATTGTATAAATCTGTAATTTGTGAAGTCACTTGCCCAGAGTGCTTCCTTCATTCTGTAAAGCGGAGCCAACGGTGGTTACAATGGTTTTCTCACAGATTATAGTAAATTCTGTATATGGTCAACATTTGCTTTGTAAGAGACACACAAAGTTGTGTGTTAATTTTTGTCTGCAGAACTTAAATAATTTATGTTTACTAACCTCCCCTTCACAATCTTGTGACAAATCTTAAAAGTAATCACATTTTACTTATAAGCGTATAGCGAATCTTCAGAGTCAGTGGTGTTGACGAGTAACCAAGTGATGTAGAAATAATGATTAATACAGTCTATTCTACGTACAGGTATGAGTGACCAAGATGTTCAGATACAGTGCCTTTTAAAATTCAGTTCTGAGAAGTGGAGACATGCACAAAATTGCAAGTCACCATAGGGAGCCTTCACACTTACCTGGCCCCAAAAGGTGAAAGATCTGGAGGCAGAGATTATAGGTGATAAGTGTGTTTAGAAATGCTTAAGTTAATGGGATCAACAATTAGTGTAATGGCTATGTCGTTGGACACCCATGTAGTCGACCACGGTTCTAGTACCTGACCCAGTGGCTTAAACTCACGACGGGTGCATGTGCATGCATGCCCAAGATCTTGAGAAGAGAATGGAGGAGAAGGGATTGTGGTGTGGTCATTACCCCTGGGGGGTGATTTCTTACTGTCTGTCTATCTCTGTCTTTATAGCTAGCGTGCACCCTAAACCAAAAAACTCTCCAAAAAAAAAAAAAATGCTTAAGTTAATAATCGGTTAAAAACATGTCTTCATGCCCAGGAGAAATTAGCCAAAGAATGCCTGTGTTTCCCTTTAACAGGGATAAAGCTTTACTATGCCTCATGAAACACTATGAGAATGTAGGCAACATGTCACAATCACTGTAGGAAGAGGCCTGTTACAGCAGGATTAATATTCATAACCTTGACTCCCACAGGCCATTTGGAAAGAATTTTAGAATAGGAAAAAGCAGTCAGAATTTTGTCCTCAATGGTCAGTCATTTTTCATCTTAACTTAAATTCTACTTAAACCTCCTATAAGCTCCTTTGGGATAAGTATTTTCTTTTTGTTTTTGGCCATGGGTAGTATACTTCTGAAAGAGAACATAGAGAAGGAAAGTGAGAATTCATCCCTAAGAGTATGGCCATGTCTCAGTCTCTTCTCCATTTTCTTCTCAGGACTTTGATTGTTCATACAAACACACACACGCACACACACACACAAACACTCTCAGTGTGATTTTTTTTTAAAGCCACTGGTCCAGGACTTGAACCATAGTCAGCCATGTGGAAATTCAGCACCTTAACTACCACTCTACCTGCTAACCCCATATTAATATTTTTTTTAATATTACTGGAACCTGTGCGATGCCTGTGATGTATTCCAAGTTTACCACCACAGCTTTCTCTCTCTCTAAAGTTCTTAGTTTTTTGTTTGTTTGTTTGTTTGTTTTTTCATCTTTTTAAAATATGAACTGGCAAACACCTAAGTTTTGGGGGTTCACCAGCAACAAAAGAAAGTTTGTTTTATGGGGGGGATCTTGTTTTCCATAACTAGAGGTTGTGCTTTAAGTTAACTCTACAGACATGCAGTGGTGGTTACAAAGAATTAGGCAAAGAATTAGACTTAAAATAAGCTTTATCTTCACTCTCAGAGCATACATTATGTACCAGATGTGGTTGACAGAGAGGCTGTAGAGATGGACCTCAACACCTCAACACAGCAACACTTTTTTTTTTTTGAGAGGTTTTTGCTATAGGGCACGTGCGCTCGCCAGACAGACAGAGAGAGCCATAGACAGAAAGCGAGAAATCACCCCCCAGGGGGGATGGTCACGCCACAATCCCTTCTCCTCCATTCTCTTCTCGGGATCTTGGGCATGTACGCACATGCGCCCGGCGTGAGTTATAAACCACTGGGTTCGGGACGCGAACCATGGTCGACTACGTGGGAATCCAGCGACATAGCCATTACGCTAACTGCTGGTTCCCGACACAGCAACGCTCTTGAATCACTTGAGAAGGTCCCCAGATGCTGATCCCTGGGCTGCACTTCAGACCAATCAATCAGAATCTCTCAGGGGTGGGATATGAGCATCCTGTTGTTAAAAGCTCCCTAAATGACTCTGTTGTCAGTCCAGAATGAGAAATTCTGTATTAGAGGAAAAGGCTTCTTCAGACGTGTGTTTACTTTGAGGTGGAGAAGGGCTAGAGGGGCTGAAGGATTGGAGCTGCATCTAGAAAATGTGACCTGGAGCATTTGGTGGAATATCTTTAGAGGATTTCTTATCAGCAGGTATGATGAAATCTGATTTGTAAAGGGAATTGTATAATGATTAAGGCCAATAGACAGGCTCTTAGAATAATCTAGAGGAAAATGGAGAATAGCAACAGAGATGATAGACAAGAAATTCAGAAAGCATTTAGTGTTTTCTCTCCAGGGATAATAAATATCTTTGAAGAAAATGAGTAATGATTTTAACTTGGCACATTGTATTTTGCCCTACCTATTGAAAATACTTTTCAGTATAATATACTATAGATAGGTTGAGGTACATGAATTTTATTGTTACTCATTATTAAAAATGTGCATGCTTCAGGTAATTTTCCTCATTAATTATTAAACTGTGTTTTGATAGTCTTGTGTTAATAATTTTTGTTTTTGCTTTTACAGTACTATAAGGTTGATATTAGCAACATGGTTTTCACCCCACTTCATCAACATACATAAGTTTCATTTTCTCTTTGGACCTCTTGTATGCCACAATGGTAAGCTACAGATGAGTATGTTAAAATTTGTGTTTTATTGTGTTTTCATCCTTCAACTACATACAAATATGTGGATCTTAGATACAAGAAATACTCTTGTGAGCTAAGCAAGTTACCCCAAATAAGAGCTTATTTAGCAGTCAACAAAATTTTCTCTATAAAATATGTGACTCCTTTATCAAGTCAGTGTTTCAATGATCACATACAAGTTACATGGATAATCTATCTACCCTTATATTGATAACGTATTATCTTTCTTTTCTTCTATCTACTATATTCCAAATCATTAGCAAGGAAGATGGATATAAATACAAATAATTGTAAGGGACACTGCTTTCTTATATTTTAAAATTACTCTTTGTTTAGATTTGTACTTATGTATGTGTGATATGTTTTTTTAAGATATTATTATTTTTTTAATATATTATTATTATTATTATTATTATTATTATTATTATTATTAGAGATTTTTGCTATAGGGAGCATGCGCTTGTCCAAAAGACAGAGAAACAGAAAGCAAGAAATCACCCTCCCCCGCCCCAGGACTATGGCCAGGCTGCAATCCCTTCTCCATCTTCCTCACAGGATTTTGGGGACACATACATGTACCAGGTGTGAGTTTTAAGCTGCTGGGTCTGGGACTCAATCTGCAGTCAACTGTAGGAGTCCAGCAGTGTAACCATTACTGTGTCTGCTGGTGCCTATTATTTTTAATTCAACCAGAGAGAGAAGGAAAGTGAGAAAGCAGGCCGCCTCATCAGGGACTCGAACCACAGTTGGCCATGTGGGAATCCAGTGCCTTAATCACCATGCCACCCGCCAATCCCTGTTTTTGTTTTTGTTTTGTCTTTAAGACCAAGTCACTCAGTGTCCCTGTCTTAGCATCTTTAGTAACTGGGATCACATGCTCATGCCACTTGATACACTCTTTTTAGACAAGGTGTCACTGTGTTGCTCATACTGACTGGGACAAGCTCACAGTCTTGTTTCAACCAAGTAGCCAGAACTATAGATGCGTACTACTATGCCTGGCTTTTAGGTTGGTCCAGGCATTATACCCAGTATTCCCTGTGGCCGTAGCCTGCCAAATTAACAACATCTAGCAATAATGACTCAAGCAGTAGGCCTCAGCCTCATGGGTGACCCTGTTTCAGTTCTGGAGAGGACAAGCATGCAGTGTGATGGCCCTATAATCCTAGCTAATGGACAGACTGTGGAAAGAGGATCATGACTTGGGAGACCTTGCTAAAAATACAGCCACCACCCACTTCCTGACCTCTGTGTTTAACAGCCTTTCAGACTTAGAACCAGTCTTTCGGCACAGAAAATCCCCTTTCTCAGTCTGTGTGACTCTCAGGAATCCTTTCTCAGTCTTTGTCTCATTCCCAAAGTTGATTGGTATTCACTGTGTGAAGCAATCACAATCATACTAGATCACATGTTTTGTTTATAAATTGTATTTTACTGTGCACCCATAGTAGTATTCAGAATAAATAAAAAGATGATGCTGGATTTATATTATTATGTGGTGTGTCTTTTTCATTTTCTGGTATTTGTCTAATGTATGCTTTTTGTATGGGTAGAATTACATTATTTTAGTATTGTGGTTTGTGATATCTATTGAAAGATATATACCATGTGGTGCCACTACACATGGCAAGACATCTACCTTTAAGCTGCTTGCTTAATGGCCTAGTCATTGGAATAGGACTTGGTCATTAAGTGAGGGATGGCTGTAGCTATCCCTTTATTCCCTTTCTCTCTAAGGAAAAAAGAACAAAGTGAATGTATCCTGCTTACTGCATAAAAGGATTTTAAGTGTCATAAGGTGCTAGCATTCTTTTCTTTGCTTTTATTATCATCATTATCTTTTTTATATTATATTGAATCTCATATATCTTTATAGTATATTACATTTCTTTTTCCTGCATGATTACCTTGCATGTCAGTCAAGACAAAGACATTACTGTCTACATCATCATCATCATCATCAAATAGCTTTTCATCATTTTTCTTCACATGTTTTTGTATCACTAAAGATCTTAACTAATTTAAAGACTTTCAATATCAAGCACAGTTAATATTTAAAAATGCATGTCTGACTTTAGGTATAAAACTCAATGAGTAAAGTGAATGTACTATAAAGTAGCATCTTGAAGGGCTATATATAGCTTACTACAGTCATTAAATAGGTATTAATAGATATTTTAAATGCATTTTTTAATTTCAAAAAATAATTTTAGTTTTAATAGATCAAAATAAAAAATGTTAAGAGAAATTTGCTTAAAACTTAAAACCAGGAAAAAAGGTTAGGATTCAGTTCAAATAGTAGGTGGATGAACCTATCAGCAGTTCAAAAGAAGACAAAAGTTCTTAAATATGGAAATCAAAGATAATTAATAATTTAGTCTAAATTAAAAAAAAATTCACTAGTTCAGATTCACATAATTAATCTCTCTTCTGTTGAATTTGCAGTGTTACTGTGGTCTGGTCTATCTGCTTAAACTCTGGAAATTAACATTCAACTCAACCTGTCTACCGTTAGGCTGACTATTCCGTTGCTTGTTTCTTGTACTCTTATTTCTGTGTGTCCTTACTTTAGTTTTCCTGGTACAGCACTCCCTTCAACACTTCTTAGAGAGCTAGCCTGGTATTGGTAAATTCTTTCAGGTTTCGTTTATCTGAGAATGTTTGTCTTTTTTTCCCATATGGAAGATAATCTTGCTGGTATAGTATTCTTGGTTGAAATTGTTTTTTCACTTAACATTTTGAATTTATTTTCCCATTCTTTCCTTGCTTGCATTGTTTCCGAGGAGAGGCCTGATGTTAGTGTGATGGGATATCCTTTGTAGGTAACTTGACATTTCTCTCTTGCCAATCTTAGTATCTTGTCTCTGCCTGTGGTTTTGGTCAGTGTGGCTATGATGTGCCTCGAGAAAGATATTCCTGGGTCAATTCTGTGTGAGGTTCTTTGTATTTCTTGAGTCTGAATATTTGAGAGTCTCTCTAGGTTTGGGAAGTTTTCTTCCAGGATTTCATGAAGTAGATTATATATGCTTTTATTAGTTTCTTCACCTTCAGGGATACTGATGATCCAGATGTTTGGGTGTTTAATGGTATCTAGTATAACTCGTATGTTATTTTCATTTTTGGGGGTTATTTGTTCAGTCTTTTTGGTGAATTTTTCTGTGTCAGATGTTCAATCTTCTACATCTGAGATTCAATCTGCATTATTTAATCTGCTTTTGATATTTTCAAGGGAAGTTTTGATTTCCTGTATTACAGCCTTCATCTCTTAACAATTCCATTTGATTCTTTTTTATGATGTATAACTCTACTTTCAAATAATGCAAGAACTTCTTCACCTCCTGGACTTTGGTATCTCTTTTCTTCTATATCTTCTAGAGTTCATTGTCTCTATTCTCTTGCATCTTTGTTAGCTTTGTCACTATGACTATTTTAAATTCTTTATCTGACATTTCCATGAGTTCCCTTGTATTCTTTGTGGACAAAGAGGAGCTGTTCTTTTCCCTTAGAGGAGAGATATTTTCTTTGTTTCTCATATTTCTTGTGCCTCTGCGGTTGTTTCTGATCATCTGATGGATTATACGTTTTTTTCCTATTTTTTGGGAGTTAAATCTGACTACTGGCTAGACCAGGGGGCAGAGGGTTTTTGGTGGTCAAACTCCCTAAAAGGGGTTGCTTTTAACTGTGATGTAGATGGTTGCTGATTGGCTTATCCTGGCTCCTAGCTAGACCTGGGAGCAGGAGGGTGAAGTCTGGGCAGAGGGTCCTCTGTGGACGAAATCCCTGAAAGGGGCTGCTTTTAACTGAGATGTAGATGGCTGCTGATTGGCTTATCCTGGCTCCTGACTAGACGGGGGAACAGGAGGGTGAAGTCTTGGTAGATGGTCTTCGATCTAAGTGCTAGTATTCTAATGGCACATTTCTGTGTTCAATGACTTATGATCACTAAATATCCTTATGAGTAGACATTTAACTATCACCACTAAAATATTAGAGTAAGGGCCCAGCCATTGGCATGCCAGGCTGCAGATCTGGAAGCCACATGTCAGTGGTGATTCAAGTCCTTGGCTCAGTCTGAAAAAGATACCAGGTGTATCCAGGTTCCTGGCAATCTGTTGGAGAACAGGCAGAAGCCGATCACAACATGACTGAACCCTGTGAAGGGTGTGTCTCTCTTGCTCTTTCTCTCTATTGTGCACATGCATGCACTATTAGAAATGAAAACAGTACTAAGGGAAAATACATTTTCTCATGTTTTAAAAAAGAACCATTTGACAGAATAAATGAACACTGACCACTATGTTGAATAATTCATTCATCTAGATAAACCTCTGTTCTGTAGCACAAACCACAGAGAACATTTTTCTTCCTTCTCCTCTTGGAATCTTGCCCATCTACTCCTGCCCTTTTAGAGAAAAGTGGAACTGTTACAGTGGGATTCTGACCATACTTTATATTTTACATGTGCGTTACCTGATCATTTCCTTCCTAAGTATTTGAAGGAGGTAGTGAATAATTGATGCTTCTGTTTATATAGGCAGATACATTTCACTAGACCTTTAGAAGTTTTGATTTCAAAAGAAGAAATACTTGAGATGGCTGGCTATTTAAGGTTGTTCTGTCCTTGGATATTGTATTTATTACATATTGTATTTCTTTTTTTTATTTGCCCTTTTTTTTTGGAGAGGTTTTTGCTATAGGGCGCGTGCACTCACCAGACAGAGAGAGAGAGACAGAAAGCGAGAAATCACCCCCCAGGGGGGATGGCCACACCACAATCCCTTCTCCATTCTCCTCTCGGGATCTTGGGCATGCACACACACGCGCCTGGTGTGAGTTTTAAGCCACTGGGTCCGGGACGCGAACCATGGTCGACTACATGGGAGTTCAGCGACATAGCCATTATGCTAACTGCTGGTCCCAATATTGCTTACTATTTTTGATATAAATTACTTAAAGGTTTTATAACTAGAATTTAAAAGGACTTATATCTGTCAAGAGTATATATCCAAAGTGATGGATATATAATGGCAAGTGGTTGTATTAAAAAATCTTTTCTTGGGGGCCAGCAGATGGCATAGTGGTTATATCACTGCACTCATATGGCCAACAGCAATTCAAATCCCGACCTGGTGGCTTGAAAATCATGCCGGGCGTATGTGTATGTATGGCTAAGATCCTAGGATGAGAGTGGAGAATAGATCGAGGCATGGCCATCCCCCCGGGGGGTGATTTCTCACTTTCCCTCTCATTGTCTCTGTCTTCACCTCCCCCTATCGCCCCCCCCCAAAAAAAAAGAGAAACCAACATCCTCTCGGGATCTTGTGCATGCACACACACGCGCCTGGTGTGAGTTTTAAGCCACTGGGTCCGGGACGCGAACCATGGTCGACTACATGGGAGTTCAGCGACATAGCCATTATGCTAACTGCTGGTCCCAATATTGCTTACTATTTTTGATATAAATTACTTAAAGGTTTTATAACTAGAATTTAAAAGGACTTATATCTGTCAAGAGTATATATCCAAAGTGATGGATATATAATGGCAAGTGGTTGTATTAAAAAATCTTTTCTTGGGGGCCAGCAGATGGCATAGTGGTTATATCACTGCACTCATATGGCCAACAGCAATTCAAATCCCGACCTGGTGGCTTGAAAATCATGCCGGGCGTATGTGTATGTATGGCTAAGATCCTAGGATGAGAGTGGAGAATAGATCGAGGCATGGCCATCCCCCCGGGGGGTGATTTCTCACTTTCCCTCTCATTGTCTCTGTCTTCACCTCCCCCTATCGCCCCCCCCCAAAAAAAAAGAGAAACCAACATCAACAATCTTACCTCAATCTTAGGAATCCATTTCATTGGGAATCTGCTCCTTAAAGTTTTGCTTTGCTTGTTTAGATTTTTTTGCCTTAGGGTTTATGTGCTTGGCTGAAAGAGACAGAGAGACCAGCCACAGTCCCTTCTCAATGCTCTTTTTGGGATTTTAGGCATGCACACATGCATGCAGTGTGTTTTTCAGGCTGCCAGGTCCAGGACTTGAACTGCAGAGTCAGCCATCTGGGATCCAGCGCCTTACCCACCATGCTACCGGTTGGCCCCAGATTTTTATATATTTTTGAATTTGCTACAGGACGCATGTGCTTACTAGACAGAGACAAAGAGCAAGAGTGAGAGTAGATTAGGTGGAAAGAGAGAAAGTAAATGTAAAATCACTCTCAAGGAAGGATGACCAGGCTATAATTTCATCTCCATTCTCTTGATATTTTGGGGTACAAATGCACATAGGCTTTATCTGCTTTTCCTTTTTTGGGGGGAGAGGGGGAGGTTTTTGCTATAGGTACATGTGCTTGCCAGAAAGAGAGACAGAAATCACTCCCCAGGAGGGATGTCCATGCCACAGTCCCTTCTCCATTCTCCTCTCATGATCTTGGGCACACTTGCACATGAGCCCAGCATGAGTTTAAGTTATTGGGTCCAGGACTTGAACCATAATCGACTACATAGTCCAGCAACATAGCCATTATGCCAACTGCTGTTCCCAACTTTGTTTTTCAAGCCTCAGAATCTAAGGCTTGAACAATCTGTTGGCTAAAAGGGAGCTAGCCACCTTAACTAGCATGCCACCTGACTGGCCAGAAGATTTTTTTAATTAAGGAAATTGGCATAAATGTATTTAACCGAACTTTTCAGAGTGGTAGCAAATTTCAGACCTTCCTCACTTACCTGTATTTAGATGATTGATAATGTGAGTTGTTTTCACATACAGTTTATAAAAGGGCTACTTATTTCTATAATCACAAATTACTCATCTTTGGGACTAGGGACCACTTAAAACTTATTCTCATTTCCAAAGGTTGGCTATATTTATTGTTCCCTTGTACTCCTGAGGTTTTAGTGCATGTCAGGAGTTTTCACCACGTGCAGCTTTGTAGGATGAATTATTGGAATCTGCAAAGCAGAATAATTTAGATCTTTGTTTAAAAAAAATATTCTGTGCCTCTGAATGAGATTTAAAAACTATAATATGAATGGAAAAAACTATACATAGTACCCAAACAAAAACCTAGAAATCATTGAAGGTATATTTGTTTAACTTTGTATAGAATCTAGAACTTTTTATTCATGTCTGTCTTAAGAAAGCTTTACAAATGAGAAAGACATAGCTTACCTTCTTAATTTCCCTCACTTATCTTAAAATAAGAATTTCCCCATCTCTAAGAAAGGAATGAAGGGTAGGTATCTATTAGTAGATCTCAAGCCTTACATGAGTAATAATATTATGTATAAATATGTATGTATACACACTATACTAGGGGACTTCAGAAAGTTTATGGAAAAAACAAAGCATGAGGTCTTTTTTTATTTTTTAAAGATTTATTTATTTTTAATTTTATTTATTATCATTATCCGTTTTTATCAGAGAGAGACCGAGAGAAAGGGAGATGAGAAAGCAAGCTGCTGAGTCCAGGACGTGAACCATGGTCGGCCATCTGGGAATCCAGCTCCCCTGCCACCTTGTCTGGCCCTACAAGTTTGTTTGTTTGTTTGTTTATTTATTTATTTATTTTGGAGAGGTTTTTTTCGCTATAGGGTGCGTGCGCTCGCCAGACAGACAGAGAGACATAGAGACAGAAAGCGAGAAATCACCCCCCAGGGGGGATGGTCACGCCGCAGTCCCTTCTCCATTCTCCTCTCGGGATCTTGGGCACGCATGCACACGCACCCGGCATGAGTTTTAAGCCACCGGGTCTGGGACGCAAACCGCGGTCGACTACGTGGGAGTCCAGCAACATAGCCATTACGCTAACTGCTGGTTCCCCCCACAAGTTTATTTTGACTAAAAAAAATCTTGAAATCCATGCATAGCTTTGTCATAATATGTGCTTTCTATGAACTTTTTGAATTCCTCATAGACCTTCATATATATTTCATTAGTTCTAAGGTTCATTTTATTTTACTTTTTTTTTTCCTTGAGTTTTTTTATTCCATGAGAGTGAAACAGAGACACATACCCCCAACAAAGCTTTTACGCTGCAGTCCACCCTCAGTTTTAGCTGACCTGGCCTACGCACATGAAGGTCACCTGCACACATGCACCCAGCGAAGTCAGGGAGTACATAGGATCTCTCCCATGTGGGTCTAGTTGGATTACTGTTGTGCCCCTGCCTGGCTCCTTTCTTGTTCTTGTTCTTTTTTGTTTTTTTTAGAGGTTTTTGCTATAGGGCGTGAGCGCTCGCCAGACAGAGAGAAACAGAGAGAGAGAAAGTGAGAAATCACCCACCAGGGAGGATGGCCACGCCGCAATCCCTTCTCCTCCATTCTCCTCTCGGGATCTTGGGCACGCATGCACACGTGCCCAGCGTGAGTTTTAAGCCATCGGGTCCGGGATGCGAACCACGGTTGATTATGTGGGAGTCCAGCGACATAGCCATTATGCTAACTGCTAGTCCCTTGTTCTTTTTTTTTTTTTTTAAGAGAAATTTTTGCTGTAGGGTGTGTGTGTTTGCCAGAGAGAAAAGGAAACATTACCCCTCGGGGGCATGGCCATACCGCAGTTCCTTTTTCTTCATTCTCCTCTCAGGATTTTGGGCACATACACACATGTACCTGGAGTGTGTTCTAAGCTACTGGGTCCAGGACTCGAACCATGGATGACTATATGGGAGTCCAGTGGCATAACTACTAAGCCATCTTCTGGTTTACATTTTAATATCACTGAATTAATGATGAGTCTGATTAATGACATCTTAAAATAGGCAACATTTTTTTTTAATATTCCCTGAAGTAATGAGGCATGCTCACAGTCGATGTCAGTTTATATTCATTGAAACATGATGATAGTCATTATTTATCATAATCCTGTTGGCCTCTGAGCTAGAGATGTTATATTATGGGTTTTTGCATTAATATTTTAAGAATTCCTAAGGTGATGTTAGATTTCCACACAACCTCACTTCTAATTTTCAGGATTTGTAGCAAATTAGTAGAGTTCATTCCTTGCTTTACTGTGGTTACATACATTATGGCTAGTTTATTTATCCTGAATGGTGCTCTAAAAATGTTGAAAGAAATGAAAGTTTCTACAGTGGTTGAAGCTATCATTTCCAACCCTCCCCGGATATCAGTCTCACAGGCACTGCCGAGGCACCATTTCAGCATTTATCTCCTTTGTTGTAATTGGGTATCCAAGAATGTTTTTTTTTCATTACATATCATAATCATACAGTCGGGTAGAGAAAAGAAATAAGAAACATACGTTAAATTGTTTTAGAAAGTGAAAATATTTAAACGTTTAATTAGAACTTATGTGTATATTAAATTATTTTTTGTGAAAATAACTAATATTACCAAACACTGTTTACTTTTTACAGCAACAAGCATTAGAACTAGCTTTGGATCGTGCAGAGGTGAGGCATGACTAAGTTACCTATTGAAATAATGTCTTCCATTGAAAAAATACCCTCAGTTTTAAGAGATTTCTTTATGTGATTTTTCTAAGAAGTATATTATTAGGGCAACTATACAAATAATTTTACTGTAAAAATATTAGGACATTGGAAAGACATGGAGTATTTTTCTGTGTTCTTCTATGCAAAAATACTTCTTGACTCATGATGACCCAATACCATATGATGTTCAGTTCTTCTGTTATTTGGAGTTCTTAAGATGATAATGCTGTGGAATAAAAATCACTTGGATAAGGACATAGCATTTCTAATATATTTTTGTTTTGACAAATTTTCTAATTACTTAGTCGAAGGGCAGAATAGTTTTCAAAATAAAGTCCTTACAATTAAATATATGATTTTTAATACATGAAGCATATTCAGAACAACCAGAAAACATAGAGATTATTTCTGACCTGTGAAATGAGAGTTCTGGAACTATATGATTTTATTTATGCCATAGTAGTGAAATAATACACCTAATCTTAGTGCAGTTGGAGTTTCCCTTATTTGTAACATATTTAGACATTAAGTAGTTTTTGTTGCAAAGTTTAATTCAACATGTTAGAGACTTAAGTGATGGAATAGTTTTTTTTCAGCCTGCATATATTTTAGATAGACTTAATACAGATACACAAAGCAAAAGGCAGCTTATTTTCATAAACTTTTCTTTTCTAGTATGTCATTGAAAGTGCCCGGCAGAAACCTCCTAAAAGGAAATACTTATCTAGTGGAAGGTATGAAAACTTAATAATATCTTCAATTCATTAAAATATAATGATAGTCACCATTTATTGCTTTCCTATTGGACACTGAGCTAGAAATGTTGTTGGTTCTTTCTGAATATTAGGAATTTCTAAATTGATACTGGCTGCCTTATTCCATCCCAGCCCACTCCAAATTTTTGAGAAACTGGGGGAAAATATTGAAAGTTTGAGAAAAAATTGAACTTACTTCATGAATATTAACATTTTCTGTATCATCTTTGTCTTACCCATTTTTATTTTAGAAAATCTGTATTTCAAAAACTTTATGACTTGTATATTGAAGAATGTGAAAAAGAACCTGAAGTTAAGGTAAATATAAATTTTTTATGTTATTGTGAGTTTTGTAGAAGAGGAAAAATAGGAGTTACATTTGAAGCATTTAATGCTTTATATTTTTATGGGTGAATTAAACGTCTTTTCTGACGACTCTCTAATCAGTTTTGCAGCTTACCAGAGTCCTGGTTAATCTGGCCTCAGATAGAAATCATCTATTGAGGTAGAAGTAGCAGAATAGTGAGGAAAAGAGTATCTCATGGGAGTCAAGAAAGCCACAGTACATATTTTTGTTTGTTTTTAAAGTTTATTTGTTTCCTTAGAGAGGAAATGTCATCCTTCATGAGATATTTATACTTCATCCCCCGAGTTTCACCTCCCACCCTGGTTTGGTGAGGTAAATGCAAGAACTAAACCCAAAGCCTTCCCATCTTGTTTGTAGCATAGCATCCCTACTGCCTGCCAGGCTGACAGCTCATTTTATCTTCTGCCTCTTCCTGAGATGTGACAAAAGCAATTCATTACCTCAATATGATTTACATATACAAAGCTATTAGAGGACATGTAGGAAATGCAAGTGTGGTAATACAGGTGAATTTGGTAACAAAATGAGTTCATAGCCACAGTTTAAATAAGCTCATTTTATTTACTATAAAGATATGGGCAGTTGGGAACCAGCAGTTAGCGTAATGGCTATGTCGCTGGACTCCCACGTAGTCGACCGCGGTTCGCGTCTCGGACACCGTGGCTTAAATCTCACGCCGGGCGCGTGTGGGTGCGTGCCCAAGATCCCGAGAGGAGAATGGAGGAGAAGGGATTGCGGCGTGACCATCCCCCCTGGGGGGTGATTTCTCGCTTTCTGTCTCTATGTCTCTCTCTGTCTGTCTGGCGAGCGCACGCGCCCTATAGCGAAAACCTCTCCAAAAAAAAAAAAAAAAAAAGATATGCAGTAGAAATGTAATAGAAATTGTGATATCTTTATCATATACATCATTTTCAACAGAGAACTTTACAATCTTGTATCTGTTAAGAGTTTCTTCTCCAAGCCCCTCCAATCCACCACCCTCTATTAACCACTCCTCTCTGCTACAATTTCTGGTATCTACACTTGTCTTCCCTATTAGTATGCTTCAGATCCTTCTTTTGTGACGAAAACCCCTCCAAAAAAAAAAAAAAAAAAAGATATGGGCAGTAGAAATGTAATAGAAATTGTGATATCTTTTGAATCCTTTTATTTGAAGGGACTTTAGGACATTATGAGCTTATGTTGTCTATCTTTAATTTCAAAATAGATACCAGTTTATTGTTTAGGCAAGAAATAGTGGAATTCCAATGCCTACCTTTAAAATCTTTACAGTAGAAAAAAAAGATGATTGTTAAGATTTACAAATAAATCTTATGATGTTTTCCGTAAGTATTTTTCAAGGTTTACTTGACATACAGTAAATTACACATGTTTACCATATGCATTTTTAAAGTTTTAATATGTACACAAGGCAGTATATTATACATATTCATCACTTCAGAGACAGAGCTAAGATAGAAGAGATGCGTGCATGAAGATTCTTTTTTTAAAAGAATTATTTAATTTTATTTATTAATTCATTTCTTTTAATTTCACCAGAAACACACACACACACACACACAGATGCGCGGGGGTGGTGAGAAAGTAAGTCACCAGGTCCAGGACTAGAAATGTAGTCAGCCATGTGGGAGTATCCAGCGCCTTAAACACCACACCACCTGCTAGTCCCCAAAGATTCTAAATTGGGATTGGCAAACTACTATCTACCATGGCCAAATCTGTCCCATTGTATATTTTGTAAATGATTTTTTATTGGAACTCACCATGCCCATTGATTTATGTATTGTCTGTAGCTGTTTTTGAGGTACAAAGGCAGAGTTGAATAGTTGTAACACAGACCATATGACCCACAAGCCCAAAATATTGTCTGGACCTTTAAGAAATATATTTTGCAACCTGTGATCTACATGGAATCAATTCAGTAGGAGGCAACTTATCTTCTTGAAGAGATACACATTCTTCTTCATCAGAGTTTATTTGATTATAACTGAAGTCAAGTTACAAGGATTTTTCCTACAGTGAAAAAACTTTACAATTTTTTAAGACTTTAAAAAGAGTTCTAAAGAGTTCTTTTTTTAATATCAAAATGTTTAAATGTTATGCACCATATTTTCTTTTAATCTTCAAATTGAATAATGTTTTGTTTTTTTTTGGTTTTTCTTTAGCGAGGTTTTTGCTATAGTACGCGTGTGCTCCCCAGAAAGAGAGAGACAGAGAGACAGAAAGTGAGAAATCACCCCCCAGGGGGAATGACCATGCCACAATCCCTTCTTCTCCATTCTCCTCTCGGGATCCTGGGTACACACGCACATGCACCTGGCGTGAGTTTAAGCCACCGGGTCCGGGACTCGAACTGCGTTCGACTACATGAGAGTCTAGCGACATAGCCATTACACTAACTGCTGGTCCCTTGAATAATGTTTTGATTCTATGGTTTGTTGGATCCATTTATAATGCCTTTGTGCTCATGGCTGTGGGTATGATATTTGTTTAATATATTAATATATTCTTATATACTTAGTATTTGTGGTATTTTAAACAGATTTGATTTTTTTAAGGTCTTGCAAAAATACTCTTTTATCTCAGATCTTTTCTAAACAGTATTTGACATAAGACATTGTTACATCTGTGTTTTATTTTAAATCATATGCATTTCTAAAAATCACATATTTTCATGTATGTACATTTTATTTCTTGATGGACTTTTGTTTAAACAATTATAGTGGTTTCTAAGCTGTTAAACTGTTTACAGAAAATTGTGTAACTTGGTTATTTCCTCTTACCAATTACATATATATATATATATATAGAGGCTTTTGTCTCAAAGATGTGCGCGCTCACCAGAAAGACAGACAGTGAAACGGAAAGTGAGAAATGCCCCTCCCCCCCACCAGAGTGGATGGCCATCCCTTTTCCGTTCTCCTCTGGTATCTTGGGCACTCACAGACATGCACTTGGCATGAGTTTCAAGCCACCAGATCTAAGACTTGAACCGTGGTCGGCCATGTGGGAGTCTAGTGATGTAACCGCTAAGCCATCTGCTGGCCCTACCGATTACATATTTTTAAGGTCAATATTTTAGCTAATTAGAACTGTTGAACTTGTTTGGATCTAATTTAGACTGTGAGATATTTAAGAATGTGCACTTATTACTGTACAAAGAGAATGTGCCAGATACTTCATTTATATTGTACTTGCACCTAATACAAGCTAATTGTATATCACTTGTGCTTTATATATACACACACACACACACACACACACACACACACACACACACACATATATATATCATGTTTTTAATATTTTACTTAAATATTTTTATTTCCTAGTTATGTACTCAAAACTACATATTTTATGTTCAAGTATATCTATCTATCTATATATTTTTTTTTTAGAGAAAGATTTTGCTATAGGATGTGTGTGCTCACTGGAGATACAGAGAGAGAAAGTGAGAAATCATTCCCTGGGGGGATGACCGCTCCACAATACCTACTCCTCCATTCTCCTCTCTGGACTTTGGACACACACTCATGCATGTGAGGCATGAGTTTTAAGCCACTAGTTCTGGGACTCAAACCATGGTTGACCATGTGGGAGTTCAGCGCCTTAACCATCATATCATCTGCTGGCCTCAACATTCAAGTATTTTTATTGTTTTATTGATCAACAGATTTTCCTTCTGATGTGAATTAATTTGCATAAATGTAGTAATAAATCAAAAATAAGTGTATATAGGTTTCCCATACATCGTGGCTATAGTTTTGTGATTCTTTCCCATATACAGGATCATAATGTGGAAAGAACACCAAAAGAGATTCATTCAAATCTAATTTGAAAAATCATAGCATTATTTGTTAAGGTTATACTCAATTATTTTCATGAGCTCTCTCTCTTTTTAAAGCAGAAATTAAGAAGAAATGTGAACTTGTTAGAGAAGCTCGTTATGCAAGAGACTTTGTCATGTCTAGTGGTCAATTTATACCCAGGAAATGAGGGATATTCTTTGATGCTCAGGGGAAAAAATGGATCAGGTAAGACCCTCAAGAGTGTAGCAGCAACAGAAGACCTTTGTCAGGCAGGATATTTTTATAAAAGTAGTTCCTTAACTTACTAAATGGTTTGTCTTTGAGATCAGTGATGACTTAGAGATAAAAGCAGACTTTGATTCCAAATTTTCCTCCTTATACGCTTTGTTAAAGTACTAGAAATTACCTCTAATATAATTATCTTGATTATGCATTTGAAAGTATTCTAATTGATATTTGTCTGTGACATCACATTGTAATACTTTTGAAATAATTGTCAGGTTTCCTTTCATTCTATTGCTATTTTGTTAGCATGTTATTTTAAATTATTTTTTCCGTCAGCATCTTGAAATACTCCTGAATCTGAAACCTTTAAAATTAAGGAGATTCACTTCCTTTTGAATAATTTACAAATATTAAAAAATATTTCTATTACTATGACTGCGAGAAGAGTTTTAAAATGTAAATACTCTTTTGATTTTACTAAAGAGGCATCTTAAAAATACATATGTTGATGATAATATGAATTCTGCAAAGTACTCACCTAGCTAAGAATTTTTTCTTGCATTGATAATTATAAAATATAACATGAAGAGAACTTTGTTTCAAATGTGACTGTTTTGCAGATTAAATACCAAGTTATCACTCTGATTTTAGGTTAGATTAATCAGTGTTCAAACTTTTTTGGAATTTTATCATACCCTTGATTATTTCACTGCTAATTTTTGTGATTTTGATTTTGTATTATGCCAGATGGGTTTATTATGAATGACTTTCTGAAAAGTCATTTAAATTATGCACTTTGGCTTTTCACTGAGTCTTGTCACTTTCAGAGACTATTTTATGTTTTAAAATTAAGATTCTGAGACCATTCGATTGCCTTATGAAGAAGGAGAATTACTTGAATACTTGGATGCAGAAGAATTACCTCCTATTTTGGTTGATCTTCTAGAAAAATCTCAGGTGCAACATTTTTCTTTTTAAAATGTGTTAATATTTGTTATGTATATGATATGTCTAGTGTTACATTATGTAGATATACATATATTTGTATATATGTGGCTATATAATATTTTATAAAAATATTTCATCTTTACGAGGGTTCCCCATAGTATTTAGAACATGAAATGAGACATTGTACCATAGCTGTGTGGAAATTGGTTTATTTGGGGATATTTAACCCTTAGGTTGTACTGAAATGTATACATTTAGTATATATTTTCTAAAATTGCCAGAATAGTCAGCTCATCAGTTGGACTTCTCTCTACAGTTACAATCAAGAAAATGAGGGGGGACCAGCATTTAGCGTAATGGCTATGTCTCTGGACTCCCATGTAGTCGACCGCAGTTCACGTCCCAGACCCAGTGGCTTAAAACTCACTCCGGGCGCGTGTGCGTGCATGCCCAAGATCCCGAGAGGAGAATGGAGGAGAAGGGATTGCGGCATGGCCATCCCCCCTGGGGGGTGATTTCTTGCTTTCTGTCTCTCTGTCTCTCTCTGTCTGTCTGGCGAGCGCATGCACCCTATAGCAAAAACCTCTCCAAAAAAAAAAAGAAAATGAGGGACATTACTTTGAGTATGTATAAAGTTTTACACTTAAAGTCCAGAAACTGCTCTTTATATCTGCCTTTTCATAATCAGCCTAGGATCACTCCCTTACCTTGGTTCTTTTTCCTTTTTACTGCCTTGATTAACTTCAGCTGTACTGTGTACTTTATTGAGGAAAAAGAAGCCATCAGATGGAACACTGTTTCCTTTTAGCACCAACCCAGGTCTTTACATTTGTACACACTTTCTCCCTGGTTTTCCCTTGGAATGATGTATGCTGTTTCTAAGGCATCCCCTTCACTTGTTTTCTGGATCCTTCCCTTCCTTCTCAAAGACTTTAAACTATTACGTCTTTGGGAAAGTCATGATGTATTTTCTGTTTCTCTATGCAAAACACATACTGACTTTCCAGACAACGCAGTGTAACCTCCCTCTCTTCTATTTTCCCTTTTGTACTGTATACAGAATGCAAATATAATGTACTATTGCTCAAAAACGAAAAATCCTTCCTTGGCTACATGGCCTTCTCTAGTTACTATCCTCTAATTCTATTCCTTTTGACAAGACAAGAAAATGGCTTAGAGTTCTCTAGTTCTCTATAATCATCATATCTCTTTTTTTTTCTTTTTCTTTTTTTTTTTTAACATCATTCTTTCCTTTACCCACCTCATGCAGCATTATGACATGACCATTCTGCAGAGGCAGCTTTTGTCAGTCCATGACACTGAGTCAGTTGATTATTTTCTATTCTCAGTTGGTCTCTTAGCACAGTTTAATGTAATAACTTCTTGAAATACCTTTTTCTTGGCTTCTGAGACATCACATTCTTGGCTTTTCTCTCTCTTTACTTCATTTTTTTTGTTGTTGTCATTTTGTTTTATTCATAAATTTGTACACATTTTGGAGTTCAGTCCTGGGCCTTCTGTTCTTCCTTAATAATGTACTTTCTCAATTATCTCTGCCAGTTTTATGGCTTTTAGGTATATAATTTAATTCCTTGCTTCTATCTCTCACCATGACCATTCCACCAAGCTCTCAACTTACATGTTTATTTGGGGATATTTAATTGGTTCCTTAAATTTAATGTGATAAAAGTAAAACCTTTTATTTTACATTCCAACCCATTCCCATCACCAGTCTCTTCAATCTGATAGATGACTCTACTCTTACCTTCCACATTCAATCCATCAGTAAGTACCAGCTAGCACTCTAAAATGTCTGGTCACAGTCTGCCACAGTTACCTTGCTAAATTCCTTGCTTCTATTCTGGAACTCAAGAAATTAATTCTCCACAGATTGCCAAGTTAAGTTTACAAAACAAAAAGAGAAAAGCTAATATCCTAGTTTGAATTCCTCCAGTATCTTCTTATGTGACAAAACTTGTTTTCTATTTGTCTTTTTCTCTTAATTTTAGTACTCATTAACTAAACTCCAGTTGCTCTTGCTTTCTTTTAAAACACACCAAGTTTATTTTTACTCAACCCTTTCATATCTGCTGTTTTTTTCCCTTCCTTTTCCTGCCATACAGTGTACCAGAGAGATCAGAGAAAGAGAGAACAAGAGGATGAAGCACCCCTTCTAGGGAATAATCACACTTAATATCTTTCTTCTTTATCTCTCTCTCCTTTTGGGATTTTTGGGGCACACATGCACATATACCTGGTGTGTTTTTCAAGCTGCTGGCTCAGGGACTTGAACCACACAGTCAGCAAGTGGTATTTGGCTGCCTTAACTCCTAGGCTCCTAGGAGTCATACTGTCTATCTGAAATGATCTGCCCCAAATGTCTGGCTTACTCTTGTGATTTAGAACTCATGTAAGACATCATTCAGTTAGAAAGGTTTTTATCTGAGAATAAAATGTGTGTTAGCCTGTCCTTACTTTATTTCCTTTATAGCATTCATCACTATCTAAAATTATCTTATTTTCTCTACCTGTTCATTGTCTGTCTTCCCATCCTGTGAGCTAAGTGTGTCATTGCTATGTCTGTAAAACTTCTTAGACAGTGCCTGGCACATAATACACTTGTGGTTTCTTAGTAATATTTGTTACAAAAGAATTTAAGAATGGTAACAGGGAGGTCACAGTGCCTGCTAAAAGTTCTGAGTGGGTGAAGAACATAATACTGTGAGTGACCATGGCAAGTCACTTGAGTGATAAGACTTTTTGTATTTAGGTGTAGAAAGAATAGAAAACAATATTTTTCTTTGTTTATTTTTTTATTGGCTTTGCTATAAGGCACATGCAACTCACCAGAGGAACATAGACAGAGGTAAAGTAAGAAATCATCCCATGGGTGAATGGCCATTCTGCAATCCCTTCTCTTCCATTCTCCTCTTGAGAATTCAAACATGAATGCACATGCACCTGGCATGTTTTTCCAAGCCACCAGATCCAGGACTCAACCGCAAAGTCTGCCATGTGGGATACAGCCACCTTAACCACTGTTTCACCAACTGGCCCTAGGAAAGTATTTTAATGTAAATTTATAGTTAGCATATCTCTTATTAATAAAGGTTAAGATTTCATTTCTGGAAATTAGTAAAGAAAATACAGAACTTACATCTAGAAGTTGAAATTCTAGCAGTGTTGGTAATTGATAATTTTTAACTATATCAAACTTTATAACAATGACAAAGTTAGCGAAGTGTAACTATGAACCAGTGAGCTTCAGAACGACAGCGTTTCCAAAGATCTATAATGTAAATGGTGTATAAATGCCCAAGGTTGATATGTTAACTTTGTAAATGCCAAAATCAGGTTATCATTAGAAACTTAAGCAGTTTTAAACTGCTTAAGTAACCATGATAAACATAAATAATTTTTAAAAAGATTTTCATAGTAATAAGTCCACAACTGAAGAATATGTGAGTGGGCCAGAGATATTTCATGAATGTGTAAAGAATATGAAACATGGGGTCAGCAGGTAGCATGGCGGTCATGTCACTGGTCTCCTACATGGTCGAGTGTCATTCGACTCCTGAACCCAGTAGCTTGAAATTCACGTCTATGCCTGCCCAGGATCCCGGGAGGAGAATGGAGGAGAAGAGATTCTGGTATGGCTATTCCCCCTGGGGAGTGATTTCTCACTTTCCCTCTTATTGTCTGTGTCTCTTCCCTGGCACACGTGTCCTAAGGCAAAAACCTCTTTAAAAAAAAGAAGAAAGAAAAAATATGAAACATTCCATGCAAATGTACCTTTTTAGTCTTTTGAGAAATGACATTTACTTAAATATTTTTACTCAAAACAGGTTAATATTTTTCATTGTGGATGTGTCATAGCAGAAATACGTGACTACAGACAGTCTAGTAATATGAAATCTCCTGGTTATCAAAGTAGGCACATTCTCTTACGTCCAACAATGCAGGTAAGGAATGTTTAAGAAGTATTATTTTAGATTTTATTCTGAGTTTTATTAAATGTCTTCATATGTTTGTGTTCATAATGGGTTTTTCAATTTTTATTTCTTCTAGACTTTAATCTGTGATGTACATTCAATAACAAGTGATAACCACAAATGGACCCAGGTTAGTTATTTTATTTTTTGATCCCCAACAGGTAAAATATGTGATAAACAATACTCTTTATTAAGTTAAGATAATGTTTTTCTCATATTTTATTCATGAATAAAGTGACATTTTTTGTGAAAAACTGGAATTTATTTATAAACATTAGAAGTTAAGAGTCTCTGATTGGCCCCATGATCTTGTGGTTAAGGAAGCCAGATACCACATGGTTTGACTCACAGCCCCAACAACTTAAAAAACACATCGGGCACACGTATTTGTATGCTCAAAATCCAAGCAGGATTGACAAATGGTTGAAAAGGGATTGTGGCATGACTGTGCCCTTTTGGGAGATACTTTTTCCTCCTATCTTGCTCTCTATCTCTAGCATGTGCACTCACCCTTTGGCAAGTTGAAATAAAGAAAAACTTGAGGATCTTTTAATGCAGTAATCCTTCAAGTAATAGTTGAATCCCAGTTGCTTGGGATTATGTAAGGATCATACTGACCTGATAGGTACAATGTGAGACTTAGTTCTTTTTCTCCTCTCAAAGAGAAGAAAAATGTTTTGTTTTTACCAAGGATATAAATGCATATTGATTTTCTAGGATCCAGCATTCTAAAACAGGACTCATGTCTTTTTTTTTTTTGCCCGTTATACTGGTTGCCTTGGTGCTAGAATATACTGTCTTAGCCCTGAGAATAGCCAGTTAACTCTCTAGTTCTGGCTCATGATGTGCTCATTCACAAGACTGTTTATTTACTTTTTCTTTGTTTGTTTGTTTGATTTTTAAGAGATTTTAGCTATAGGGCATATGTGCTTGCCAGAGAGACAAAAAGCAAGAAATCACCCCCTGGGGGATGACCACACCACAATCCTTTCTTTATTCTCATATCAGGATTTGGTGCATGCATAAACACGTACCTGGCGTGAGTTTTAAGCTGCCAGGTCTGGGACTTAAACTCGAGAGTCCAGCGATATAACCATTACACTATCTGCTGTTCCCAAGAGTGTTTATTTGTTTGCTCCTATAGAGAGATATAATTATTAAATCAAAGAAAATATAAATAATAGAAATTATCTTCTTTGTAAAACGTGATTATTAAGGGACCAGCAGATAGCATAATGGTTTCGTCACTGAACTCCCACGTGGTTTGAGTTCTGGACCTCTGGCAGCTTAAAACTGAAACTAGGCATGTGTGCATGTGTGCCCAAAATCCCAGGAGGAGAATGGAGGAGAAGGAATTGCAGTGTGGCCATCCTCACTGGGGTGGTGATTTCTTGCTTTCTGTCTGTATCCCTAGTGAGTGCACGTGCCCTATAGCAAAAATCTCTAAAAGCAAAAATGTGATTATAAACTAAGATTCAGTTCATCAGTAGCTACTAACTGCCGTGTTTTATGTACAAGAAAATTAAAAGGGTATTTAAAAACAAACTCATTGGTCACCACACAAGGTTGCAAGGGCATCAGTAAGAAACTGATAAATAGGAAATAAAGTACATATTCTGGCATTCGTATAAGAACTGTGTTTTAGGTAGTCAGGTACTAACTAAAGGGGAAATTCTTCAGAAAAATTCAAGGTAATAGATGCAAAAGAAATGCTACATTCTAAAAATATTAGTTTAGAAGTCTTAATGAACCAATGACTACACAGCACTCATCCTTAGATCTTAAAACCATTTGATAACAGGTTAACAGTAAGTTTTAAAAGCAGGCGCTGGATCTAAATGTGCCTCCTAGAAGAATTCTTGTCTAAAAAAGTAGAGCCTGGGATTAAATCTAGCCTCTAAGTCTATCTAGCAGTTCATAGGGAACTCAGAGAATAAAAATAATCATAGGCACTAGCAGGTGGCATGGTGGTTAAGCTGCTAGATCCCACATGGCTAACTCCATGGTTCAAGTCCCGGACCCAGCAGCTTGAAAATTACATTGGGCCTGTGTGCATGTGTGCCCAAAAATCCCAAGAGGAAAATGGAGAAAAGGGGATTGTGGCATGGCCATCCCCCTTGGGGGGGGTGATTTCTTACTTTCCCTCTTTTTTCTGTCTCCTGTGGGTGTACATGCTCTGTGGCAAAAATCTTTAATAAAAGAAAAGAAAAAGAAAAAAAAAAACATCATGGAGTGCTTCTGTGAGGAAGCAGTCAGCCAAGTCCAGTTAATTGAAAGCTTTAGAAAGTAATTGGTCAAAGGAGAAAAGAAGGGACAAAAAAAATAAAAAATAAAAAAAGATGGGAAGAAGTGATTGTTATAGAATAAAAAAGATACTTAAGAGATATAAAATGAAGTGCAATGTGTGGTGGACCTTATTTGAGTCTAAATTTGAACAAACCAACTGAAAATATACTCTTGTGGACAGTGGAGGGAAATTTAAACCTAGACTGCATATTAGAAGTCCTTATCAGGACTGGCAGATGACCTGGTGGTTGAGGTTCTGAACTCCCACATGGCTTACCAGGGTCTGAGTCTTGGACCTGGCACCTTGCTTTCTCACTTTTCATTTCTCTTTCTGTCTCTGTCTCTTTCTTGTCAAATTTAAAAGTGATAATAATAATAATAGTAAACAAAATGAAATAAACAATTCTTTAAAAAAAAGAAAAGTCCTTATCAATTAGCAATACTTACTACAATATTTCCAAATGAAAGAACATAACATCTGCAATTATCTGCAGTTATTCCAGCAAAACAAATAAAACTCAAAGTTAAAAGTAGTTGTTAAATGAAATTGGGTCTCGGCACATAGGTGTTATTAAACTGCTTCTGTTTTCCATAATAAATAATAGAAAACTTCCGTGATGAAAAATTGAATTAAACTTTTTTTAATCACCAACAGCCATGTACGTTCACTAGAGATAGAGGGAGAGGGAAAAAGTACCCCTCAATGGCAAGTGACAATGACTAAATTCCTCCTTCATTTCTTCACGCTGTTGGGATTTGGAGCAAGCGTGCGCATGTACTTTGCATGTTTTTCAAACTGCAGGAGATGGGATTTGAACCATGGTTAGCCATGTGAGATGTGGCTTTCTTCACTGCTAGGCCACAAGGCCTACCCTGAATGAGACTATTTTAAAAAACTCTTTTTTTTCCTTCAAAAGAAAATATTTTAAGAAAAAAATTGGTAGCAGGCAGGTGTGCTTGCCAGAAAGAGATAGAGAGGGAGGAACCACCTCCCGCCCCCATTGGGGCATGGTCATGCCACAATCCCTTTTCCATCTTCTATCTTCCCATCCTTTCAGAATTCTGGGAATGTACACTTATGCAGCTGGTGTCATGTCTTTGGGGCCAGATTCAGTAAAGTAAGTTATGTGACACCAGTAAAATGCCTGTATGTACTTTAGAACTGGGTATATAGAATTTACAGTCATTTTTATTCTTAGTAGGACTATTACTTCTCAGTTACTGAAAGTGTTGTACTCCATCATGACTCTATGCGTTTTAAGATAGCAGGGGATTTTTATCGGTTTTGCTCACTGCTTTATCTCCACCCCTGGAATGGTGCCTTACACATAGTAGATGCTCAGTGAATACTTACTGAATTAATGAGTTGGAATTCTTACAATATGACCATTTCATATAATGTGCAGATTGTTAGATTTCCATTAGAAGTTTCTTCATGCTGGCAGGTTACTAAAGTTGAAACTAGATACTGTATTTTACAGAAGTCTTCATCAGGGTTCCACCCCGTTTTTCTAGCTGAGGTTATACATGACTATGCATTTCAGAGTCTTAAATCTAGTGTTGACATGCTCTAATACATTTCAGGAAGACAAACTTTTGCTTGAGAGCCAACTGATCCTAGCGACAGCTGAACCCCTGTGTCTTGATCCTTCTATAGCAGTAACTTGCACTGCAAACAGACTGCTCTATAACAAGCAAAAGATGAACACTCGCCCAATGAAACGGTAATTGTCTTTGTGAAAGAGTGCCCTAAAACTACACTTGTGACAAGTAACTCTAAATTTTGTTTTTATAGTATTTTCTCCTTCAAGAGTATAAGTGTTCTGGCTTTTTAAGTAATGACCTTGTACTTTATTTTTTGTGTATTATGATTTTTTTTTAATGCTCTATTTTATATTGAAGTGCATTTTCTACTGTCTGTTAAAGAACTGATTTCCTATAGGTTTATAGTCTGTTCACCAAAAACACAAAGAGTCTGAGAGAAGACCAAGTATGAATAGTTTTTTTTTTTTCCCATTTTCTGATATCCAGTACCCACTTTAATTTTTGTTCATCTTTTTTGCTTTAATTTTTGCTATAGGGTGTGTGTGCTCATCAGAGAGAAAGGAAGAAATCACCCCTCTAAACACTCTATTACCATGGGTCTGCAAGGCTCTTGCCCTTATCTGTGGTCTCATCTACCAAGTGAACCCTGGTGCTCTAGTCATATGTGCCTTTTTTCTGTTTTTGAAACTAACCAAGTTTGTTTCAGTCTCAGCACCCTTTAAAATTCTGTTTCAAATAGGCAGTCACTAATCTTTCAAAATGCTTCCTTTTCTCCTCTCCCTGTGGGAAGCACAAGGGGATTTTTCTTCAGTATTCACTATGAGAATCTTTTCAATCCCCTGGAGACAAATCTGAAAAGTGTGGGGCATCCTAATGACCAGATCCCCTTAGAGTTTTTAATCACGCAGACTTATCCACACCAAGCTTCTGGCAGTTTATGTGGCACTGGTTGCCAAGGAGGTTTGTGCTTGTGGGTTTCTGCTCTAGCAAGCCACAATCCTCAGCATTTGCCTGTTGTTCTTTTTGGGAATGGTAGTTATTGGTATAACCAAGTGATGACTTCCAGTTTCTTAAACGTCTTGGGCTAGAAACAGGAAGGCATCCCCCTTCTTTCTCCCTGACACACATCTGTCATTAGGGTGTTCTTTCTCATCATTCATATCTTAGTTCACATGTCAGTTTTTCAGAGTTCTTCCCTTCTTCTCTTCCCTAATGTTGCCCTTTCTGTCACTTCCTGCAGTACTGTTTTTTTCTTCTACTCCTTATAATCTCTGAAATTACCTGTTTTCTTGGTAAATGTCTCACTCCCTCTCTGGACTGTCAGCTCTGTGGTAATGGAAATTTTGTTTGTCTTGTTCATTTTTAACTCACTGGTGCCTTTGGACATTGTTTAGCATGTGGTAGTGTTTGATGAATATTTGTGATTTAATAACATATTCATTGTTTACTAATTTAAGCTCTCATAAATTATTAATTTCTTTAATTAGCTTTTTTTAGTTCAAACTCTTAATATTTCAGATGTTTCAAGAGGTATTCCAGGTCCTCTCTGAATCGGCAGCAGGATCTGTCTCATTGTCCACCTCCTCCTCAGCTGAAATTACTTGATTTTTTACAAAAAAGGAAGGAAAGAAAAGCAGGTCAGCATTATGACCTCAAAATTTCTAAAGCAGGAAATGTAAGTACTCCTTAATAAAGTTTATTGTACTAAAAAGCCTGCCTTATTTTGAATTTTCAGTGTATTTATATACTGTTTTAAATTTTCCAGTGTGTAGATATGTGGAAACGGAGTCCCTGTAATTTGGCTGTACCTTCCGAAGTAGATGTAAGTCAGTTCATGAATTTCTTTTTTTTTTCCTAATTAGATTTAAGAGTTTACCATTAGATAGTTTGTACCTTGATAAAGCGATCATCTTTTAAAAATAAAATGAGAAGGCTAGATGTTGGCCCAGTCATAAAATTCTGTGCTCCATGAGGCTGGCCATCATGTTCTGTGCTTGATCCAGAGACCTGGACTGTGATGGGTGTGCATGCCCATGATCTAGGGCTGGCTGAAGCTGCTGGGGATGGATTATGGCATCAAAATCCTGTTGGGACATGTTGGCTCTCTTTTTTACTCTCTCTCACTCTCTTTATCTCACTCATTCTCTTTGTGTCTCTCTGATTCATGGAAGGAAGGAAAAAAAAAGATTTAAAGGGACCAGCAGATGTCATAATGGTTATATAACTGGACTCCCAAGTAGTTGGCCGTGTTTCAAGTCTTGGGCCCGGCAGCTTAAAACTCACACTGGGTGCATTTGCACGAGTGCCCAAAATCCGGAGAGAATGGAGGAAAAGGGGTTGTGGCCTGGCCATCACTCCTGGAGGATAATTTCTCACTTCCTGTTTCTTTCTGTCTGGCAAGTGCATGTGCCCTACTGCAAAAAGCTCCATCTAAAAAATAAAATCAATTGCTTGATTTTACATGCTGTATATTCTTTCATGTTAAGTTATATTAGAACATAACACATAATATAGGTCTTTTTAGACAAGAATAATAAAACAGTTTTAAAATGTAGGAAAATACAGTACATATGACATACTGTACATGAAATGTCTATGATTTTCTTCAAATTTCATTATAACATTTTATTGTTTCTTTCCTCATAATAATACTGGAGTCGTGGTCAAGATGAGAACCTTGGGTGGTAGTCTTTACTGTTCTATAATACACATGAACTATACATGATTGAAGAGAGAAGAATATTTTGATGAGAAGAATATTTTTGTATTTATCTTCCTTTATTTCTCCTATTTTTTTATTACTCAACTATTAGACAGTTGTTCATTTTATAGATATCTTGTTCTTTTGGATCTTTCCTAAGTTAACACTTTTACTATTCTTATTACTATGATTTTTTGAAAGAATTGTGAAAGGGAAAAGCCAAAACCATCAATGCACTATACACACAGCTAAAGGGAGCAAGCCCCATTACTTTTGGTAGCTTATGTGCTCCTCCTGTCCTCCTTAGCTTTGTAGGACAGGCTGGATATTTAAAGTAGAACAGTTTGAATAACCTTTGTCTGAAAATACTTAGAAACACAAGTGTTTCAGATTTCAAGGTTTTTGATTTTTTTTTCAGAGTTTAGAATATTTGTATACATATTATGAAAAATTGTGAGTATGAGACCCAAGCCTAAACAAAAAATTCAGTTTCTTCCCCCCCGCCTTTTTTGCTCACTAGAAAAAGAAGGGAATGGGGAGCAGTAGGAAAACTCACCCTCCATGGCACATAGTCTCACCACAACTCTTCTCCTCCATCTCTCCTTTGGGATTGGACATAACACATGCACTTGGTGTGTTTCTCAAGCTGTCAGGTCCAGGACTTGAACCACACAGTCAGCCTTGGAGGATCTAGCAGCCTTATCTATGAGGCTTCAGAGCAAGCCCTCACTTAGGTTTCTTATATACCTTATACACATACCCTGAAGGTAATTTTATATGTAATATTTTTATATTGCTATGTTTTGACAACAGCCAGTCACATGAGGTGGAATTTTCCATGTGTTGTATCATCTTCAAAGTTTAGAGCATCTTGGATTTGGAATTTTCAGATTGGAGATACTCAACTTGTGATTTCTCGGTTTCTGTCTCTCTGTCTCTCTCTGGCAAGCGCACGCGGCCTATAGCAAAAGCCTCTAAAAAAAAAAAAAATAGTCATGATGCATTTTTGGATAAAAAAACAAATTGTGCTTTCCAGACTTTAATGTATATATGAATCACCTAGAGAGCTTGTTAAATGGCAGATTCCTATTCAGCAAGTCTGGACTGGGGCCCAAGATGCTGAAATTCTCTCAAGCTCCTTACATGGTACTGGGGTCCACAGATCACACTGTAGGTAACAAGGCCCTGTGGTTTCTTAGTCTAGCTCAGTTGGAAGAATCAGTTAAACATATAGATTTCTAGCCTCACTTCAGACCTAAGACATACTTAATAGGAGTCTCCAGGGGAGGAATGTGAAAATCTGTGTTAACAGGTGCCCAGGTGAGTCTCAGTTACTCTTAAAGTCATAGTTAGCAGGATGATGAGGACATGTGATTTCACACATACCATTAAGAGATATGTGGATTATATGACTTGACTTGGAGGTAGGAATTGGAAAATGTTCAAAAAAATTGTTGTCAACTGTAATCTTCCCTAGACTTTTTCCAGTTTTGTCTTCCTGTTACATGGCAACTCCTTACATTTAAAACCCTTCCAAAAGGAAAATGTTTTGATTCTGTCTGTCTGGCATTCTAGTTTTTCTAAAGAGAAGGCTCTGAAGGACAAATGTGATGTTAGCTTATGGATAAAAGGAAGGTACACTATCCAGAAAGGCTGCTTTGTTTATAAATAGTTAGTGTTTATAAATAGTTAGTGTTCAAAGAAATTCTAATTTATTTATTTAATTCCATTTGTTGTTGTTGTTGTTGTTTTCATTTGTTGTTATTATTATTTTTAATATGACCAGAGAGAGAGAGAGAAAGGGAAAGTGAGAAAGCAAGATGCCAGGTCTGGGACTCGAACCGTAATTGGCCACGTGGGAATACAGAGCCTTTAAACACCGCCACCTGCCGGCCCCAATTCTAATTTATTTTATTATAAAAGTTTTAATTGACCATACCAGAAAAGCTTTAAATTGCTTGAGTAGAAGTAGTTGGTAGTATTAATGATTAAAGAATTCTTGTGCTAACAAGTACCTTGTATTGTTGAGCTGTTGAGTCAGAAAAGTCATAATGCGGGACCAGCAGTTAACGTAATGGCTATGTCGCTGAACTCCCATGTAGTCGACCGCGGTTCAAGTCCTGGACCCGGTGGCTTAAACTCACGGCGGGCACGTATGCGTGTGTGCCCAAGATCCCGAGAGGAGATTAGAGGAGAAGAGATTGCAGTGTGGCCATCCCCTGGGGGATGATTTCTCGCTTTCTGTCTGTCTCTCTCTGGCAAGCACACGTGCCCTATAGCAAAAACCTCTCAAAAAAAAAAAAAAACAACTTGGGAACCAGCAGTTAGCGTAATGGCTATGTCACTGGACTCACACGTGGTCGACCGTGGTTCGCGTCCCAGACCCCGTGGCTTAAAACTCACGCCGGGCACGTGTGCATGCGTGCCCAAGATCCCGAGAGGAGAATGGAGGAGAAAGGATTGCGGTGTGACCACCCCCCTCAGGGGTGATTTCTCACTTTCTGTCTCTATGTCTCTGTCTGTCTGGCGAGTGCACGCGCCCTATAGTGAAAAACCTCTCCCAAAAAAAAAAAAGTCATGATGCATTTTTGAATTAAAAAAAAAAAAGGCATGACTTTTCCAATGACCCAATATTTGGATTCTTTTCTTTGGTCAGAATACTGATCCATTTTATCTGTTATCTCTTGTTGTGATCATTAAGGTGGAAAAATATGCTAAAGTGGAGAAGTCTATCAAGTCTGATGACTCACAGCCTACAGTCTGGCCAGCCCATGTAAGTCTTCATTGCCTGTCTCCATTTTTATGATGCTGTTTCTATTCTGGGATCCACATTTATTAAATATGAAGTTTAATTACCTTACTTTGGAACTTTTTTTTTTTAATTACCAGAGAGTGTGTGTGTGTGTGTGTGTGTACTTCCCAGAGAAAGAAAAAAGCACTCTCCTGTGGGGCACAGCCATACTGCAGTTCTTTCTCTTACATTTCTCCATACTTTCAGTATTTTGGACACACACATAACACATGCCCAGTGTGTTTTCAAGCCTTTGAGGCTAGGATTTGAACTGTGGTCAGTGATGTGGGATCTTGTTTTCTATGCACAGCACAGCTGCTGTACTGTGGGTCTGGGCCTGGAACCTTTTTATTTAAAAAGGTCTTTGGAGGGGTTCGGTGAACTACAAGAAAAAACACCTATTTTGCTTTTTTGTTTTTTAATAGAAAATATTATTTCAGTTTTTAAAAGCAATTTTAATGCACAAGTGCATTTTTACTCTGTGGTTGGATGTTGGTAGTTCTGATTTGTTTTCTGCTTCAAACTAGTAAATTCTTCCAAGGATGAACAGTAATGCTCTATATAAGTTTGTTAATTCCAGTAATAACTTCCTAAAGGGAGAAATAGGCATACTTTATTAAAGGAACCTTAGGTGAGAAATGATGAGATTTGGGTGCGTGATGACAGAAAGACTAAGGACAAATATTCTCCTAAGCCAAAAATGTATATAGTTGAGCTTCCAAAACTGCTTTTAAAAGTTTTCTCTTAATATGATCTAATATTTATAATTCATGTCTAGTATATGAAATTCTGTCATATTTTCTCTCATTTGATTACCCCATTGAAACTCATATTTCCTAAGTATCATGTTAAAAAGAATTCTATACAGCCCTGCTTAGTGTGGAGGGGCAGGGCAACATGAGGGTCAGATGGGGGTAGTGGTGGGGGGATAGTACTGGTTATCTGTGTGACCCCAGGCAACACTTAACCTCTCTACTTAGTTCCCTCAGCTGAAAGTGAGAGTTAATAGGATTTGGTGCTGATTACACATGGCAGTACTTGTAGAAAGCCGACAACAATGTTCAGTACGTGTTTACTGTTAGGATTCTCAAAATGTATATTAATATATGTATCAATGGTACATGTTAACACATACTAATATTATTTTAGTATACATTAGTATGTGTTAATGCCTTATTAAATGCATCACTAATCCCCAGTTTTGGCTAATTCTGGTTGCTTATTTACTTGAGGAGGTATTTATTTGGGGGGATGCTCTTGTCTTTTTCAGGATATAAAAGATGATTATGTATTTGAATGTGAAGCTGGTAATCAGTATCAGAAAACAAAACTGACCATCTTGCAGTCTCTTGGTGACCCACTTTACTATGGTAAAATACAGCCATGTAAAGCAGATGAAGAAAGTGATAGCCAGATGTCTCCATCCCAGTGAGTTCTGTTAAATACATGTAATGGACAAAGTCAGGCATCCAGATCTGTTTACCAACTACTGTGACTTAATGAGTAAAATTTCCTTTCAGGCATTTATTTGTTGACTATTTCTATTACATTTAGTGATCTTGATTCATAGTTACCATGTTGTCCAAGAGTTCATTAAAATAATAATTTCATAAAAAAAAACCAGAACTATGGTATAACTATTTATATGCTAGCTTTGAAGAATATGCCCATGATAGCTCTCTCCCTATATTTATGTTATATATTTATCCACTTATGACTTTAACATCTTTGTGAGCATGAAGTGTCCAGGAAATAGTATGTTTAAATAACAAGCACATTATCAGTTTTATTAATGTAGTCAGAGGTCAGATATTGCTTATATTTTTAAAGTCTCACTTTTAAAAACAAAGGTCATTTTAAATTTATTAACTTTTTTAGAATGCAAAAGTATAGCACAGTATTCTTTAGTGAAAAAATTAGTCCAAAAAGCCAATTCACTAATATCTTTGACACAAAGAGAACTGAATTTTTTGTCTTTACATCAGGAAGTTGTTGCAAAAATGTTGCTATGTTTATCTTCCAATCATTATTCCATGTTCATAAATTACTTTATTTAATAAGTACAAGGTTAAAGTTTGAGTTTCATTAATCAAGTTTGTTTTTTTATTCTTTTTTTATATTTTGTTTTCCAGCTCCTCCACAGATGATCATTCAAATTGGTAATTAAAAATAAACTCACTATTTTAATGTGTTAAAAAAAAATCATAAATGTCAAGCCTTTTAAAATGACTTAGTGAAGATACTGTATTTGAATTGGTGATGCATTGTATTCCTTGTCTGAAATGTAGTCTAAGGTCCTACTATGTAGATATTAACAGTTTCCAGAATCAAGGGTTAAAGTGACAGGGGGAAGGACAAAGGTCTTAAACAGGGTGATTCTTAACTATAGGGCCAATACCTGAAAGAGTAGAATAGCACTTGGTAACTTTCAGCTCAGATAGTTTTGATAAATAAGTTTTGTGCTCTGAGGTGTATATCATGCTGGGTAAAGTCTCTTTACAGTCTAAATGATGTACAATGATTAATGTATAAATAATAATTAAAATTAATTTTTAAAATTGACTTGCAAAAAAATTTTTAATAAATTAAAAAAAAGTTTTGTGCTAAAATAAATCTCCCTTAAGTTAAATTATTCAGATAATTGGCCCAGTTGAGGTAGCACAGTCTATGGGGTACAGACTACAGTACTGGACACCATATGGCTGACTGTGGTTGAGATCTCTGGGTGGGCCTAAAAACATGCGAGGTGTGCATATGGGTACCCAGGATCCAGAAGGAGAGGATATAGGGAGTCATAGTATAACAAGACCTGTCAAGGATGCTTTCTGTTTCTTACTCTTTTTTGAGCATGTTCTCTCTATAAAAAAATTATTCACATGGTTATTTCATAATTGATGCCAAATTTGTTCATTGCTTCATAAGTCTAAATGTATTTTTAGTTCTTTTTCACGATCCTGGTAGATTTAATAAAATTACTGTGATTAAAATACGAAGACTTCAAAAGTAACCCTTTTTTTTTCTCTCCCAACATTTAGGTTCATTATTGGATCAAAGACTGATGCTGAGAGGTAAAAAATACTTGTATCTTTGATTTTGGTCACAGTGGATATGAAAATCTTTTCAACCTTAGTAGGATTTTACTAATTATACTGATGCCATCTGCTGGTCTAAGATATGTCATTTCATATTTATGGGCCTTAGCTATAAAATAAGATCACTGGCTACTAAAATCTCTTAATGTGACTTCCAACTTTAAAATCCCATTGAGTCTAAAAAAAAAAAAAAAACTACCAAATGGATGTGGTACTAAACTACTAAGAGCAGTTATTTTCATAGGATAAGATTTTGGGGGACTTAATTAGATTTTCTAACATTCTTTAATAATTAGTATATTTTTTCATAGAATTAAGGAAATAATTAAAAGAATAATATTTAAAACATTGTTTTAAATAAGGAAACAAATACAACTCAAGATGATTTCTAACTAGTACTTTAATCATTGTGTAAGAGAATAATGTGTGATTTCTTTGACTGCTTATTGGTCAAATAGTCTCTGAAATTTCTGTATTCAGAAGTAAGTTATTGAAACTATAGATAGTTAATTAGCAAATCGTTTTGAACATTAGCCGATTTGTTAAAAAAATTTAAGGATTGTACTTTTGGCATAAAGATAAATTGCGAAATTTAATTTTTGTGGTTTTGGGGCGATTTTATTTTTCTCATTACTAGCCATTAGTAGTCATTTCCTATATATTGTGTTTAAATGAGGTTAGCTACTCTTTGCCTGTTTTCTCTGAATATTTTAGGGTAGTCAATCAGTACCAGGAATTGGTCCAGAATGAAGCCAAATGTCCCGTCAAGATGTCACACAGCTCAAGTGGCTCAGCCAGTCTGAGTCAGCTTTCTCCTGGGAAAGAAACAGAAGTATGTTTTATTGCTGCTACTTTTTAGCACCTCATTGTTTCTCAAGTAATCTAAGAAAAGTTAGGGATCATTTTGTGAGGGGAATATTGTGTAGTTTTGTTTTACTTTTTTTTTTTTTTTTCGCTATAGGGCACATGTGCTCGCCAGACAGAGAGAGCCATAGAGACAGAAAGCGAGAAATCACCCCCCAGGGGGGATGGTCACGCCGCAATCCCTTCTCCTCCATTCTCCTCTCGGGATCTTGGGCATGCTCGCACATGCACCCGGCGTGAGTTTTAAGCCACCGGGTCCGGGACGCAAACCGCAGTAGACTATGTGGGAGTCTAGCGACATAGCCATTACGCTAACTGCTGGTTCCCAAGTTTTGTTTTACTTTTAAAACTTTTTTTATTATTTAACTTTTTGTAATAGAAATTTCAAATGTACACCAAAGTAAAAAGAAAAGTATAATGCTTACCTGTGTTGTAGTCATCCAGCTTCAGCAGTTGCTATTTTCCTGAAGAAAATAGAAATAGAAGGGTGGAAGCTGTGTCTTCATCTTACTCCTCTGCCCTTCTCCCTCAGACTCTTCTCCTGACCCTAGTACTCAGAACCTTTCCCACATGTATTATGTGTATTGTAACTCACTTCATGTTGTGTGAAATTATGTTCCTCTGAAGTGTATATAATATTCAGTTTGTAACATCTAAGAGCACTTAGTTATCAGTTGTGTTTTGATTCAAGTCTTTCAGGGGTTTTAATTTTAATAACTTTGTTTAATGTCACTATATTTCTGCAGCCTGAGACTGTGTCAGTTCAGTCTTCAGTACTGGGGAAGGGAGTAAAACATCGACCTCCACCCATCAAACTTCCCTCTGGTTCAGGAAATAGTTCCTCAGGTATTGTATTCCTTAGTTTTCTGTCATCTAGTAGGAAACATCATCAAATTATAACTGGTTTTTAAAACTTTACTCACATTTTGATTTCTGTGATTCATAGATTTTTAAGTTGTAAATCTAGGAAATTTATATTCTTCTAGGTAACTATTTTACACCACAACAGGCAAGCAGCTTTCTTAAATCTCCAACTCCTCCTCCTCCTTCTAAGCCACCAAATCTTTCGCGGAAGTCATCTGTGGATCTCAGTCAAGTTAGCATGCTTTCTCCAGCTGCCCTGTCACCTGCCAGCTCATCACAAAGTGAGTCATAACTTAAATTCTTCATTAAATCTTCATAAGCTTTTGCATTAGTACTTTTTAAGAGCAGCCTGTTTTCAACCTGTGAAATAGTGAAATCCAAATGTACTGTGTACCTGAAATGTATCAGTTGGCAGAAGCTTCAGGCAGAGCTCTTGTTGATTGTATGTATTATGTGTTATTGTAATTGTACTTGTTTTTCTGTATCTGTATGCACTCTGTATACCTTTCTTATAGACTTGCAACCTTCACATCTCCTTAAAAAAATAATCTGATAGTTAACATGCAGCAATAGGATTCCAAAATACTTTTTTTTTAATTCCAGTGTTACTCTTAGGATCATTTTATATTTTATGTAAACTGTGTGACTGATACGAGAAAAATGTCATAAGCTGTTGCTGCAGGGTCCTATCTTTGTATGTGTACAAAACCAGCAAGTTCCAAGGTGGTGAAACAATAAACGGAAAATCAGTATTTCAAAAACACTCCTACACTCTTTTATAAATTATTGTCAATTACTAAACTGTGATGATGATCATAAAGTATTATCCTGAAGATATTAAAATGTAGGTTTTACTACTAAATACATTTTTAACATCAAGATGAGTTATAAAAGAATGCTAGCATTAGCTTAGTAGTTCTTCAAATTAGTGAGTGTTTATTTTAGGTACCAATTTGGGGAAAAAAGTATTCCAGTTTTTTAGATTTTTTCAGAGATAACTAATGTGTGGTGAAAGTTTTAGTACACTGCACAGTGATAGGTGGTCTTTGCATTAGATGTAAATAAACATCTTCATCTTGATAGCTCAAAAGGTGTAATTTTTCTGCCTTCTTGTTTTGCACAAAGAAAAATACATAAATTTTCTGAAAGTCTTATTCACACTTCTTATGTTGTGGGTATGGATTATGGTAATCTGCACACAGTTGTTACTTTAAGTAAGGGTTGAGTGACAGCTTCTGGACATTCACATTTCTTTCCTTTCTTTCTGCAGGACATGAAAGCTAAAAAAGAAAACACCTCAAGAGCTTTTGGTTTTACTTTTTTGGTTTTTGTTTTTTGTTTTTTGTTTTTTTAAAAAATTGATAAACTGTGCATACTTCATTCACAACAGATTTTCTATACATTCTACATTTAAACAGAAGTACACAGTTACTGTTAAAGATGCAGTATTATCTGTCAAATATTTGCTTTATTACTGTTTTTGTAAATTTGTTTGTCAGGGTGAACTTGATGCCTTAGGAATTAAACATGTATATTTAGGTGCCAAGTATGATTATTAACCGTATGTAATTTATTAAATATGTTCACAGTTTATCTCAGACTATTACACTAAATAAGCAATACTTTTAAATGAAGTCTTGAATTAGTGAAATCGTAAATAACAAAACTTAATTTGAATTCCTTTTGAACTTTTTAGGCTAAGGGTAGCATGTAGGAAACTAACTTTTAAATGGGTATTGTGGTAGAATACAAATGTACATTTTTACTGTTACTGTAATAGCATCTCTAATGGAATTTTTAGGTGATATACTGCATCCTTAATTGTAATTGAGTGTAGTAACACTCTTGTATCATGTGTAGAAATTAACACTTGCAGTTAACTGCTTAAAAAAAACTGGAACAAATTGTCAGTGCTAAGTAAGATTCCATTAACCTTATTTTAAAAAGGACTGGCCATTTATAACAAACTAGCAATTTTTATTTTTCTCAATGAGCAGGATCTGGAACTCCTAAGCCATCTACTCCTACACCAACCCCTTCATCGACCCCACACCCTCCTGATGCTCTCAGCTCAACTCCTAGTACCCCTTCAGCCACCCTTTCTCCCCAAGATTCAGGCTTCACCCCTCAGCCCACTTTGTTAACTCAGTTTGCTCAGCAGCAAAGGTCTCTGAGCCAGGCAATGCCTGTAACGACCATTCCTCTTTCTACCATGGTAACATCTATAACTACAGGAACCACGGCCACCCAGGTCATGGCAAACTCTGCTGGACTTAACTTCATCAATGTAGTGGGCTCTGTTTGGTAAGTTTGCATTAATGTCTAATTTATTTTTTAAAGATAGTCTCAACCCATCTAGAAATGTTTTTATATGTGATATTAAGAAGATTACATATTATACAACCAGAAAATAGTATAGATAGAAGCTGCCTCACATGTATGTCATAGGTAATACATCTGCCTGCACTAAGGTGATACTTGATATTGATAACAGCTTAGATTTTCCTGTTTGTTCTCTTTTTTTTTTTGGAGAGATTTTCGCTATAGGGCGTGTGCGCTCACCAGACAGACAGAGACATAGAGACAGAAAGCAAGAAATCATTCCCCAGGGGGGATGGCACGCCACAATCCCTTCTCCTCCATTCTCCTCTTGGGATCCTGGGCACACACGCACATGTGCCCGGCGTGAGTTTTAAGCCACTGGGTCCGGGACGCGAACCGCGGTCGACTATGTGGGAGTCCAGCGACATAGCCATTACGCAACTGCTGGTTCCCCGTTTGTTCTCTTTGTTACCATCTTTTAATTCCTTGGTTAGCACTTTTCCAAATTATATTTTAAACTATGATAAATACACGGTACTTACTTTGAGCTATCCTTGCTGTCATATTCTGATGTTAAATTGAAACTGAGCCTAGAAGTTGATATTTAGGACAGAGAAATATACCTAATTGTGTTTGTCTAATAGTTTGGTTTTTAACATGAGATATTATGTGGCTATTTTTTTTTATTTTACAGTCCAAGTTTAATGCTTTGTCTCATTTTCCTACAGTGGGGCCCAGGCTTTGATGAGTGGTTCAAACCCAATGCTGGGCTGTAACACTGGTGCCATAACTCCTGCAGGAATAAACCTGAGCGGCCTTCTACCCTCAGGAGGTCTGCTACCAAATGCATTGCCTACTGCAATGCAGGCAGCTTCTCAAGCAGGTCAGAATATTGGAAGTAAGAAACTGTAAAGTAATAAAGTACATACTAAAATAAAAGTGTTAAAGGCTGTTACTAAAGATATTTAAACATGTGATTATTTTATAAATTATTATAATACATTCAGGTGTTTTATTTTAAAAGCCTTTAAACTTCTGGTATTCGGACTATTAAATCATTAGAAAAGTCATGAATATTTTTCTATGTTTTTCCATGCAAAAATGCATCATGACTTTTCTGATGACCCAATAAAATAGTAATCAGCTTCTGTAAAAAAACCTTGATAAGCTGTAAGTCTAATAAATTAAATCTCTGATGTTTCAAACATTATAATAAAATTAAATATGGTAGCCTTAATTTTTGTCAGTGTAGTTTTGTTCCAGGAAAAATAAATGTTTTTTGAAAATGTACATTATATAGAAGAGTACATGGAATGGCAATTAAAAGCCTAGATTCCAGAGCCAGCTGCCTCAGTTTAAATCTCACTTATGCAACTCTCTAGTTGTGTAATGTAGGGACACTTGTCTGCCTTATTTGCCTTATAAATAAAATGTGAATAGTAGTAGCTTAACTCATAGTTGTGAGGATTAAATGAGTAAATCAGATGAAGTACTTTAACTGTGACATGATAAGCTTTCAAAAGTATTTGTTGTAGTGGTCGTTACTAATACATGTCCTAGAAAACAGATATAGCAATGTGTGCAATTTTTGATGCTCTTTAAAGAAATGTGTGTAGTATCTTGAAACAATTCAATTTCTTACTACTGAAGAAGAATCAAACAGGAAGAACAAACAACATAGTAAGAAAAATTTATAAGATACTTTCTGTGAGTTAGGAAAAAGAGAGCCCAAAGAAAATAATTTAAACATGTTAACAAGTTGCTGTGATGTCCTAATTCTAGCTTATGTTCTTATTTTAATAAGCATAAATGTGCCTTAATGGTAGAAGCCCTGTAAATGGTATCAAATCTTTAGCTTAGGGAATTTACACTTACCATGTAATTCTGGTTGTAACATTTACATGTTATTCCAGATCCTAACTGTGGGGTCTTAGAAAAGCTACCAAAGTCACTAAAGAGAAAAGTTTTCTCTCAACCTCAGTTTCATCTCCTCTATAATGGGAGTGAAAATATCTTTAGTTGGTATTTACGAGAAATAAACGAAGTACAAAAATGCTTTTGGTAAGCTAGAAAACATGATACAGATGTCATCCACTTTTAAAGAGAGTTAAGTCATTTTTTTTTTCAGAGAAAATTCTCATGAAAGTGTTATCAACTTCTGTCATTTTAATTTGATTATACTTTTTTAGTTTCTCATACAAGGCTTTGGTAGTATCATATGTAAATTTCCTGCCTCTTACTGTTTTAATAAAATTACCTGATAAAGTTCTAAATACTTTTTTTTTCTATGAGAGAGAAAGAGACAGAGATAGGTATTTTTGACAGGGTTTTACTGCATTAATATACTCCTGTCCAGCTTTGCATTTAGTTAGGATTATAGGCATGTACCCAGACTGCTTAGGTTGTCCGTGAACCAAACTTGATCCTCCCATGCAGCTTATCATCTTCCCAAGCAATGACACTATCAGTGTGACATTACAGTTGGGCCTAAGATACATTTTTAATTTGTGCTCAAATTGTTATATTTTGTTAATAAGCAAAATAGACACATAACTTTGAGACTGGGATCAGCAAGTTAAGCTAAGAATTTTTGTTGTTATTTCTTTTAATTCAGCCAGTGTGATAAATAGTGCCCCAACAGGGTCTTGATGCTATCATCCACCCACAGCTTTAGCCAGCCCAAGGTCATGGGCATTCCTATGTCTGGTGTACTCACTAAGTTGTATGGCGTGCAAACTGGGAGCATTTTCACATGCAACAGCCTTAAAGCATCACATTTTACCACTCTATCGCTGATCCCTGTTTTATTTTATTTTTGCCATAGGGTGTGTGTGCTCACCATTGAGACAGAGAGGCAAGGAGAGAGAGAGTGAGAAATCATCCCTAAGAGGAGGTGGCCACAGTGCAATCTCTTCTCTACTCTGCTCCAGGAATCTTGGGCATGCACGCACAGGCACCCAGTCTGATTTTTCAAGCTGCCACGTATGGGAATCATACTGTGGCTGGCCATGTAGGAGTCCAGGCCCTTAATCACCACACCACCTTCTGGCCCCCAGTTTTACGTTCTTAAAGGATTATTTAAAAAAAAAAAAAAAACATGTAACAGGGACCATTTAGGGCCCCAAAAGCCTACATACTGGCCCTTTACAGAAAACGTTTGCCACCTTTGGCTCTAAGATAAGCTCTGTGTTGCATCATAGATTTTTAGGAATAAATTCAGATTGAAGTATTGTTTTTGACTTTCAGGTTTGATCCTTATTCACAGAATTTAACTTTTAGTTTTTACTATAGGGCATGCATGTTTGTCAGAGAAAGAGAGATAAGTCATCCCTTAGGGGAATGGCCATGCCATAATACTTTCTTCATTCTCCTCTTGGAATTTTGGGCATGCTTACACACACATCTGGCACGTTTTTCAGGCCGCTAGGTCTGGGACCTAAACCATGGAATCAACCATGTGGTGCTCCCCATCTTTGAATAAAATAACCTGAATAAAATAACCGTATTGAAAAATACTGAAGTGTTTTTAAGGTATTTTTAAACGTATGAAAAAATAAGCTCATTTTGCAGACAGCAGATAAATTGTATCGACATATAATAAAAACTGTTTTTATGTGTAAGAAAGTTTTAGTTCTGTTATAACCATGAGTTTTATTTGACAGGTGTTCCATTTGGTTTGAAAAATACTTTGAAATACAGAGCTCTATTAATAATTTTCTAACAATATGCTTATTGTTGCTACCTTCGCATGGTTAATCATATAAGGAAGAAGAGGGTCCATGTCCAGTATAACACACTTAATATTAGCTTCAGCAGTGCAGCCTAATCAAAACTAGCTGTCCCTCCTTCCAAAGAGGATACTTGGCTACGGTAGTAGTAATAGATACACTTCGAAAATACTTCCTCCCTCAATAGCTATTTTACATATAAATAAATATATGTCACACTGTTTGCTTACAGGAGATTATATACATGAATGAAAATTTTTAAATGTATTATTTTCTTGAGGAGAGTAAGATGTACTAATACAGTGGCAGGTACCTAATAAATCATTCAGTACACATTCATTGGATTATATTGGGTTGTCAGAAAAGTCATGACGTGTTTTTGCATAGAAAAATAAGTTATGACTTTTGTGACCACCCAATAGTTCGTAGCTAATGATGAGTCTGCTTTTCTTGTATGTATTACCAGTGTCAGCATATTCATAAAGAGCTATAGAAGATGGAGAATTTAGTATACATTTTGAACTTAGAATATATCAGGTCTTAAGTTAGCTAGGTTCTTTAACCTAAAGAAAAGTTAGTTATTAAGCCAGCAGTTTGGAGGTGGAAGAGATCGTTTACAGAGGACTTAAAGGTAGGCCCGATATGAAGATCTGAGGGTATTTGGTGCTAAAACTTCTAATTTATTTCATATACAGGATAAAAATAGTGTCAGCATTTTCAGACTATAGCACCAGAACAATGTACTTGTAATATGGACAAGACTTCAAATTACACTGGTTTATTTAGCCTACTTTATTGAGTATTGCTATTGGAATTTGTCTCAGGGCTCGGTGTCGGTGTTAAGAATATTGAGCATTCTGTATAGTACCAATAATGAGAAATAAGGACAAATCCCCTTTTTAAGTCTATTATATTTTTCTATATTTACTATCTACTGGTGGAAGAAGGAACAATCAACCTGTGCTATACCCAAATTTACCTAATGTTGAGCTGTGCTGGATCTAGATATTATTGATCCAAGGACACCTTTTTTTCCTACTGCACAGAGTTCTTCAGTTGGTATTTGCTTGAAGTCTCTCCTAAGGACCTCCAAGTGCATATAACTTACACTCCTTACAGCTTAAAATGGAAAAACTGTCTCCTGGTGCATTTGGAAAGCAGCATTTCAACCTGGAGTTTTCTTGAAACCAGTTTCTCTTTTTTTTTTTAATTCAAATTTATTTAAATTCTGAATGACAGCAAGTAATGGTCTCTATGCACATATAATGCACTTTCTCAAGTTTGGAATTCCTTACCATGTTATAAAAATCTGTGCATGTTTCTTTTTTGGGGGGTAAAGTTAGGGCAAATTTTGGAAGATGAGATTTCTTAATATATATTTGATTCACAAGTTTCTTATTTATATTTTCTAAAGCATTTAATGTTCTTTTGTACTGACGTATAAGAATTCAATAAAAAAAGTATATTAATTCGGATCACTAACTTTTAACTTGAAGCAGAAAGATTTGTTTGAGAGTATTAGCTTATTTGGGATCCCAAAGCAATAGCACTTAAAAACTGTCTCCAATCCTTTTATTTTAGTTTTTGCTATAAGGTATGTGTGCTGTCTAGAGAGATAGATGGGGGGCTGGAGAGAGTGAGAAATCACCCCCCAGGGGAGTTGGCCACACCACAAATCCCTTCTCCATTTGGGGTTTTTTGGGCATGTGTGCACACGTACCTGGTGTGATTTTCAAGCTGCTGAGGCTGGGACTCGAACTGCAGAGTTGGCTGTGTGAGAGCCAGCTGCTTTAACCTCTGCCACCTGCTGGGCCCTCTATTTTGTTTGTTTGTTTATGGTTTTTGCCATTGGGCACGTGTACTTGCTAGAGAGAGATAAACAGTGAGAGGGAAAGTAAGAAATCACACACACACACACATCCCACCCCACCCCCAGGTCGCCACACCACAATCCCTTTTCCATTTTCCTCCTGGGATCTTGGAGATGCATGCACTTGCACCTAGTGTGATTTTCAGGCCACCTAGTATAGGACTCATGGTTGGCCATGTGAGAGTTCAGCTCCTTAACTACCAGGCCACCTGCTGGCACCTTTAAATCTTTTTCTTTTCCTCTGAGAGGTTTTTGCCTTAGGGCACATATGCTCAGGGGTCGGGGGAGGGACTGAGATAGTGAGAAAGAAAGTGAGAAATGACTGGGGGGGGGGGGATGACCACGTCATAATCTCTTCTCCATTCTTGGAATCCTGGGCACGCACACGTGCACATGCGCCCCATATGAGTTTCAAGCCACCGGGTCTGGGACTTGAACCACTGTCAACCATGTGGGAGTCTAGCAATGTAACCACTATACCATCTGCTAGCCCCCTCTAAGTCTATTTTTGAAGTCAGGCAACATACTCCGTTTCGTCTTTTGTTCTTGTCTGTTTCCTCAGTGCCTAGAATAGTGCCTGACATAGAAATATGCCTAAAATATTTGTGGAATAAAGAAATGTAAATATTTCATATAACAATAATGTGAAATTAGCTAATGAATTCTTGTTTTAATCCTTAATAGTTTCCAGGAGGTTCACTCATTTTTAACACTCTGCAGCAGCAACAACAGCAACTGTCTCAGTTTACACCACCACAGCCTCAGCAGCCCACAACTTCCAGTCCTCAACAGCCTGGGGAACAGGTATGGGTACTCTAGCCCTCTATATATGCTTCAGGGTTTGGGGAGAGGACACGGGCATGCATGCACATGTGCCCACTGTTTTTCAAGCCACCAGGACTTAAACTGTACAGTTGCCCATGTGGAATCTAGCCACCTTAACCACCCCGCCACCTGGCCTGCCTAACCTTACATATACTTTTACCATAGAGTTTGTAACTTTTTCAAAATACATTTCAAGAACTATGTTTAATTTGCTGGAACGAACATTTCCTGTACTATGTTTCTTTATTAAAAGCAACTGTCAGTTATTGGATGCCTATTTCTAATACAATTGTATTAAATAGATATGTTACCTTCCATCTTGCATAGTTGGAATCAGATTCAAGTAAATGACACTTGCAACTGTAAACTGAATGCCTGAGATAAGGATTCAGACTCAGGACTTTATGCATTTGTAGTCTGTGTATTTTCTACCCTGTCAACCTCTTTCTGTTTATAGGGTTTTTGTTGCTATTAGAATAGAGATGTGCCTGGAACCAGCAGTTAGCATAATGGCTGTGTTGCTGGACTCCCATGTAGCTGACCGCGGTTCGCGCCCCAGACCCAGTGGCTTAAAACTCACGCTGGGCGCATGTGCGTGCGTGCCCAAGATCCCAAGAGGAGAATGGAGGAGAAGGGATTGCGGCATGGCCATCCCCCTTGGGGGGTGATTTCTCGCTTTCTATCTCTCTGTCTGTCTCTGCCTGTCTGGCGAGCACACGCACCCTATAGCAAAAACCTCTCAAAAAAAAGAAAAGAATAGACATGTGCCTATTATGATGAAGCAAGTGATAGACAGACAAAAATACATATATTTATCCCACCAACCAGAATGAAATTGTCTAGAAACGGAGGTAAATTAAAGTAGAAAGAACTGTGTTTTGGAGCATTGGCTACTTCAAATTGAATGAGAAACTTAAAAAATAATGTTTCCTTGTTCCCACCCTAGAAATGTACTTAGCTCACAATTAAATAATATGATATGTTTATCAGTCCTTTGGCCCATGTTTCCTCAATCAAGTCTTGGTAGTTTGGTAATAGTTTCCTCTAATAAATTGGTAGTCTCAGTAATAGATTCTTGGCAGTAGATTCCTCTAGTAGATACCACATTTTGTTTATCCATTTGTATACCAAGTAACATTTCTATCTATTGAGTATTATATTTGAAAGTCTAATATTTTCACCTGGATATATATCAATATTTCCATGTCTTTTCTATGGCTTATTTATTTATTTATTTATTTTAGGTTTTTGCCATAGACCGTGTGCACTCACCAGAGAGAGACAATGAGAGGGAAAGTGAGAAATCACCCCCTGGGGGGTTGGCCATGTGGCAGTCCCTTCTCCATTTTCCTCTCGGGATTTTAGGCACACATGCATATGCACCAGTATGATTTTCAAGCCACCAAGTCCAGGACTCAAACCAGTTATATATATATGGGAGTCCAGTGCCTTAACAACTATGCCACTTGCTGGTCCCCCACAATGGGCTTTTTTAGTGTGTAGATTTAGTTCTTTTTAATGTTTAAACATAATTATATAATTTTATTTATGATTTTTTTTTTGAGAGGTTTTTGCTATAGGGCGCATGTGCTTGCTAAAAGACAGAGAGACAGAACAAGAAATCACTCCCCAGTGGGTATGGCCATGCTGCAGTCCCTTCTCCGTTCTCCTCTCAAGATCTTGGGCACACAAGCACATGCGCCCAGAGTGAGTTTAAGCCACCAGGTCCAGGACTCAAATCACAGTTGACTACATGGGAGTCCAGCAACATAGCCATTATGCCAACTGCTGGTCCCTGCTAGGATTATTATTATTTTTTTTTAATCAACTTGCTCTAGAGCACATGTGCTCACCAGAAGAGAGAAAATGAGAAAGCAAGCCAAGCCTCTAGGTCCAGGATTCAAACTGCAGTCAGCCATGTGGGGGTCCAGCAGCACCTTAATCACTATGCCATCTGTTGGCCCCCAGTTCTTTTTTATTTTTGGAAGATCTTGTATTGGGTCATCAGGAAACTCATGACATTTTTTTTTTTTTTTTGCAAAAATGTGTCATGAGTTTTCATGATGACCCAATATAACAGTTTTCTTAAAGTGGGCTTAGATTATTGGATTAAAATTAGTCTTTTCTAAAAGAACATTGAATAGTGTACATTTCTTCCTTAGTATTGCTTAATCTCCTTTTACAAATTTTGATATATTGTACCTTCATTTTCACTTCGTAGAATTTTCTCTTTTTTTTTTCCTCTCTCTCTCCTTTTTTATTTATTTATTACTTTCTTGAAAGAGAGACAGGGGAGGCACCACCAACAGGGTCTTCACACCATGATGCATCTGCAGCTTCAACTAATTGTGATCACATACACACACATGCACCTGATGTGCACAGGGAGGGCCCAGGATGGGAACCCAGACCATCCCATGTGGGTCCAGCTTTGGAGCATTACATTATCACTGCTCCATCATCTGTATAATTTTCTTTCCCATAAATTCATCTTAAATGGGTTATTTTGACATGTGTTTGATTTATACATATGTGAGGATTCTCCAGATAGCTTTCTATAATTAATTTCAGTTTAAATCCACAGCGATGTGTAAAAATATTTTCATTTCTTTTAACTTGTTGAGATTTGTTTCATGATCCAGAATACAATCTGTCCTAATGAATATTTTAAGTATACTTAAAAGAAATGTGTATTCTGCTATCATTAGGACTGTTCTATATTAAGATAAAGTTGATTGATGATGGTATTCAGATGTTCCACATCCTTACTGATTTTCTATTAATACATATTCTATAAATCACCAAGAGAAATGTGGAAGTCTTCAACCAAAATTGTGAACATTTCTATCTGTTTTTGCTGAAAGTTATTATTTAAAGCTGTATTGTTAAGGTTCATAAACATTTAGGATTTTTATGTCCTATAATATTGACCCCTAATCATTAATAAATGACCTTTATTTATCTCTGGTAATACTACTATTTCTCACTTCTTTCTCTTTATCAATAATTATCAGAGCCTACTTTTTCCATCCTTTTAGGTTTAGTCTGAGTTTTATTTCTTTGCATTTCTTACTCAAGGTTTTTAGCTTAGTTTGTTTTTAGAATTTTGCCATAGGGCTCATGTAGGGCTCCTGTTCTTGGGAAGAGAGGGAAATAACAGTCTCCATTTTGGGTATGCTCACACACACTCCTGGCAGGACTAGAACTGTAGTCAGCCATGTGGGGAGTCAAGCACCTCAACAACCACACTGCTTACTGGCCCTAGGTTCTTAGTCTTTATTCCAGCTTCTTTGTGAATATTTTATTCTGTTTGTAGTGTCTTAGATACTTCTTTAGTGTTAATTGGGTGGTTTTAGGAGGGAAGTTTGTGTCAACTGGAGTTATTTGCATTTTAAGATTTTTGTTTTATAGTAAGTCTTTTATGGAGACAATATGGTTTGCTTCTTTCTGTTGTTCATTTCATGTACTGGGTTGAAAGTTCAAGAATGTCCTCTGTCGGGAACCAGCAGTTAGCATAATGGCTATGTCACTGGACTCCCACGTAGTCGACCGCAGTTCACATCCTGGACCCGGTGGCTTAAAACTCACACCGGGCGCATGTGCATGCGTGCCCACGATCCCGAGAGGAGAATGGAGGAGAAGGGATTGCGGCGTGACCATCCCCCCTGGGGGGTGATTTCTCGCTTTCTGTCTCTAATGTCTCTCTCTCTGTCTGTCTGGCGAGCGCACGTGCCCTATAGTGAAAATCTCTCAAAAAAAAAAAAAAAAAAAAAAGAATGTCCTCTGTCAGTCAGCTTTGAAGAAATTAAAATTTCTTTCTATATCCAAGATTTGCCACTAGATAGATGTAACTTTAGAAATATTTAGTCTTGTATTACATACTGAAATATTTTATCTGCATTATTTTCATGAAATCTAAGTTAACTATTGCTTTCCTTTATGGAATTTGCCTTAAGTGTCATATCAAAGATGTATGGCTTGGGTGTCATATCCAGGAACTCTATCTAGCTCTAGGTCCTAACCTTTTTTTCCTATGTTTTTTGCCAACAATTTTATAGTTTTCTGTTTTAAATCTGTGACTTTTTTTGTTTTGGCAAAGAATAGCCAATTATTCCAGTGCCACTTGCTGAAAAACCTATCTTAAATTGAATTAACCTTGTTTGTATCTTTATCAAAAGTTAATTGACTGTATTTGTGTGGATCTGTGTCTGGATTCTCTCTTCTGTTTCACTGATAGGTGTGCCTCTCCCGGCCAGTGTTTTGATCAATGTGGATTGTGATTTCTCCCACTTTATTCTGTTTTTCCAGAATTACTGTAGCTAGTCTTGATCCTTTACCTTTCCATATAATTTTTTTTTTGAGAGGTTTTTGCTATAGGGTGCGTGCGCTCGCCAGAAAGACAGAGACAGACAGAGAGACAGAAAGTGAGAAATCACCCCCCAGGGGGGATGGTCACGCCGCAATCCCTTCTTCTCCATTCTCCTCTTGGGATCTTGGGCACTCATACACGTGCCCAGCGTTGAGTTTAAGCTGCCGGGTCCGGGACTCGAACCACGGTCGACTACGTGGGAGTCCAGCAACATGGCCATTATGGTAACTGCTGGTCCCCCATATAAATTTTATAATCATTTATATTACAAAAAGTTTGTTAGTATTTTTAAAGGATTTGAGTTAAACCTGTTGATCACTTTACGGGAGAATTGTCATCTTTGTTATGTGAATCTTCCAGTCCATGAACAGTGTATGTCTCTGTTGAGGCTGAAATCAACATTTTTAGTTTCAAAAGACAATTTCTATACATATTTTACTTAATTTATACCTAAGGGTTTTATTTTGTTTCTTTTATTCAGCAGTTATAAATGGTACTTTTAATTTTGGTTTCCACACTCATTATTCATATATAGTATTGATATTTTTGTATAGTGATTCACATGTTGTCTTTTTGGTTTTTTTTCTTTTTTTTGGTGAGATACCGTTGAAGGCTTTCCCTTATTTTACTCTTTTATAAGACTGAGTCTAGGACTGCCCATGACAAGGATCGCATGTGGCCAGTTGTTCAAATCCTAGACTCGGTGGCTTGGAAATCATGTTTGGTTGCATGTGCACACATGCATAAAATCCTGACAGGATGGAGGGACCAGCAGTTAGCATAATGGTTTTATCACTGGTCTCCCATGTAGTCAACTGTGGTTCAAGTCCTGGAACTGGTGGTTTAAAACTCATGCCGGGCGCATGTACATGCGTGCCCAAGATCCCGAGAGGAGAATGGAGGAGAAGGGACTGCAGTGTGGCCATCCCCCCTGGGGGGGTGATTTCTTGCTTTCTGTCTCTGTCTGGCGGGTGCATGCGCCCTATAACAAACACCTCACCAAAAAAAGAAAAAAGAAATCCTGACAGGATAGAGAAATGGAGGAGAGAGGATTACATCATGACCACACCCCATTGAGTTTTGAATATATTTCTTCCATGAGAAAGAATTCCCTGGTGTGCTGCTGTCTGGCTGGCCCTAATATTTTTATTTTTCATATAGAAAAAAACTAATTTTTAATCAACTCAATTATTTTTCCTTTTTGTAAAATACATTTTTTTTAAATTCAGGGTTCAGAACAAGGTTTAACCAGTCAAGAACAGGCCTTATCTGCTCAGCAAGCTGCTGTTATTAACCTTACTGGAGTAGGAAGTTTTATGCAGTCACAAGCAGCTGGTAAGTTATCTTTATAACTCCATATATTACATTTATAAACGTATATATTTGTGATGTCACCTCTTATATTTCTTTATTTGCAAGCAGTAAAAGAAAAAGTTGTAATGTGTGAACTATTAATTAACTGATGGCATTTTGAGACTTATTAATTTGTCAGTTGAGCAAAGAGCTTTGACATTTTTATAGCAGTTATATATTTCTTTGCATCTTACTGGCAAAATTTTATACAATTACCCCACTTACTAGGAAGCTACCAGAGCTGTTCAGTGTTTGCCAGTAATTATCTTAATAACTTCACCCTTCATTTTTCCTGTTGAGACTGCAGTTTTCTAGCTTGTATAACCTTATCTCATTCTGGTTGCTTGTACTTACATGTCTTAAATTTTAATGATCAGTAAAATTACTTCTGTAAGCTACTTTTACTGTTTTTTAAAATGAGTTTAAACTAAATGACTATTCCATACTTCTGTTCTATGCTTCTAGCAATAAATAGAAAGCCAAAGATTTACCCTTTTTTTTAATAAAGAATTATTTTATTTATTTATTAATTTATTTTTTAATTTGACCAGAGGGAGACAGAGAGAGAGAGGGAGAGAGAAGGTGAGAAAGCAAGCCACCAGGTCCAGGACTTGAACTGTGGTCAGCCATGTGGGAGTGTCCAGCACTTTAACCACCACACAACCTACTAGTTCCCCCAGATTTATCTTTTAATAAAAATTCTCAATTGAAGACAATAATTCTAACTTCACATTTAATAAAAATGTATAAGCCAGATGGATGAAAAAGCTATGGTAGAATTTGAAGATTTAGTCAGTGAATATGTTGTCAACATTTTGAGTTAACTGCTGTGAATTTAGTATGAATGCCTTTAAGATTCCTTAAATATATAGCTCCTAGTGTCTGGATTTAGAAGTCCTTGAAAGTAGAATAAGTAATTCTTACATAAAATTCTCACTTAGAGCTAGTGACTTTTCAAGTAGAAATTTATAATTGTATACTTATCCCACACAAGTTACAAATTTCCTGAAATAGGTATAGTATAATTTAGAGAAAGAATTCTAGGCTGAAAAATCATGACAATTCTAGCTCCAGACTTGCTTTCATTTCAGTTAGTGACTTCAACTTCCCTAGCCATACAGTGAGACTATCAAACACTGATTACTGTGGTCCCATGCAGCTTGAAATGCAGTATTGCAGTCTTAGCTCACCATGATCTTTGTTGTTTATGTAATAAAGTAGTCTGATAGTCACTGTAACATCTTGTCTACCAGTTTTGTCATTTTAATAGTTTGGATTTCTTTCATTCCTTTTCCTACTACACTGTATTTTAAAAATACTGTATTCAACTTCACATTTTATTAGAAAGTGTTCGAAACAGAATAGCATCAGTATCAAATTTTGAGACATAATAGGGGAGGGATACAGCACTTTGGCTCACACGTACTTCCTTCCATTTCCATAAAGTTACATAATCAGTGGTACCCTCAACTAACAGGAAACTATACTAAATTTATTCTAAAATGTCTATGATTTGATAACTTAAGATTAATCATACTGCTAACTTTTCTATTATTTCATTTTCTGTGTTGTCCTTTTCTAACCCTGATAGCCTTCCAACTTTTTGACTGGCCTGCTTTCCCCTTCTCCTCTCTGTAGTGTTGTCTCAGCTTGGCTCTGCCGAGAACAGACCTGAGCAAAGCCTTCCTCAGCAGAGATTCCAGCTCTCCTCTGCCTTTCAACAGCAGCAGCAACAGATCCAAGTAATCCAGCAACTTCACTCTGATTACATTTTAAGATACTCAGCTCCAAAAGTACCTCAAAAATACCTTGCTTTAGTTTTATTTTACTGTCTTTTAAGACTGTACAGTAACTAGTAAATAATTTAGCCAATTTTAAAGTCTGACATTTTAGCCAGTCAACTTGGAGCACTGAATATATACTTCTTTCCTAATTAAAAACCTTTCATGAAGTGCTGGTGGCACATTAACATATGTTTCTAGTTTGCATTATATTTTGAAAGAGAGTTGTAAGTGCCAATTGTAAACTTTCTAATATTGTCCTGCAGACAAGTGGTCCCATTAGTAAATGCTATACCTGTTTATTTAGAAAAATGTTATTCCATTATTTTAGGAAGGAAAGTCAGCATATGATATAGTTGACTATCTTGATAGTCGGGGTAGTTTTTATATATTATTATAAATTATCATACAACAAAATGGTAACTGAAGTTGCTGAGTTACTGCAATATAGACTGGCAGGCCTTAAAGTAACAGAAAGAATTTCGAAGTTTGCCAAGAATAATTTTAAAAGCCCACAGCAGGCTTCTGTGCCACTGGTGCTGTTTGACTGTGCATTGTCTCAATGTGGTGGTATAGTCCCTTTTTGTGATCTTGGTGCTTTCTCCCTTTCAGTTTTGTTTTCATCACTCTCAGGAAAAGTACCTTTGTACACCTGCCGTAATGAACATAACTTGTTTTTTTTTCCCCTCCCTTTTCCAGCAGTTGCGATTCTTGCAGCATCAAATGGCTATGGCGGCAGCAGCAGCACAGACAGCTCAGCTACATCGTCATCATCGGCATACAGGCAGCCAGTCAAAAAGTAAAATGAAGAGAGGCACACCAACCACTCCAAAATTCTGAGTCTTGCATTACTTTTTTTCTTCTAAAAACACAAGAGCATTGAATCAAAAGGATTGAGTTTCTATTTCCATGTTTTTGTTCTTTTTTAATGTGTCAGTGTTTTACATTACTAGGTGTACAAACTTTATACAGAAGCACAACCCTATAATTTTTAAATAAAACAGGGAAATGGTTTAATGTACTAGGGTTGGTTTGCCCAAGTCATTTCTTTTTAAAAATGGTTCCACTATACATTATATATATATGGAAGTGACCTAAAAAATACCAGAAACATCTTTCAGAAGAATGTAGTTTGATATTTATTTAGTATAAAAGGTTTGTGCACAGTGTAACAAATACAATTTTTACAAATCTGTTTTGAAAAAGTTGTGGCTGTTTATTTGGGTTTCATACTCTTAATTACTTCATCCATCAGTTCTTTTACTTCTTTGTGTCTTGTAACTGCTCGACTCATACAGTCCTGAAGTTTAGCTCCAGTCAGCCCACTTCCACCTGAAAGATTATTGTGCCAACATAATTTTAATATCTCAGCTACTTTAGTTTATAAAATGTCAACATCATGCAAAACTTATAAAACAAAAGGTGGATAATTAAATCACTGTTGTCTCAAGATTTGGAAGTTACATTTTTAAAAAATATTTTTACTTTATTCATGTTAAAGTGTATACTCATGCACATTAGGGTTCATGTGGTTACCCCACCATCCTTAATCCTTCAGTTCTGTTACCCTTCAGGATTCTGGGTACATGCATGTGCTCCCAGCCTACAGCAGCCTGGGCCCACATTCGAGCCTCTGAGCTTAACTGCTACCACAGGGCCACCCCAAAATTATGTTTTAACATGATCTCTATGTGATTCTGATACATGCCATAAGTTTAAGAACCACTAATTCACAATAAATCTTTCTTCCACTTGGCCCTCTCTAATGTAAAGTTCACAATGAGTTTTCATCTGTGATATTTAAGAGTAAAGAGGCAAGGGGACCAGCAGTTAGCGTAATGGCTATGTTGCTGGACTCCCATGTAGTTGACTGCAGTTTAAGTCCTGACCCGGTGGCTTAATCTCATGCTGGGTGCATGTGCGTGTGTGCGTGTCCAAGATCCCGAGAGGAGAATCGAGAAGGGATTGTAACGTGGCCATCCCTCCTTGGGGTGGGGAGGGTGATTTCTCGCTTTCTCCTGTGTCTTTCTGGCAAGCGCACACACCCTATAGCAAAAACCTCTCAAAAAAAAGAGCAAAGTGGCAGGAACGTGCCTGGTTTGTGAAGACAGCAGAGCTTGCCTTCCTCATCCATTACTACCGTCAAGGTTCCCGTTGCCAGATGTTCTTCCTCTCCAGTAGGGTCAACTATCAGTAAAGTGCTATTAAAAAAAAAAGTTATAAATCCATGGAATAAAGTTTACTTAATACTAAATACTAAGTATACTATGTTCATTTTAGGTTAGGTATTAAATCTCAGGTAGGAGCTAAACAAACAGGAAATAAAAAGTGTCAACCTAAAATCAAATACTATAAGAAAGTTTGCTTTTCAATCTGTGAATGTGTTAAAGTCCTCAGCAAATATGGACTGTAGCTTCAGGTAAAAGAACTGAAAATTAACATTACACAGGAAGAAATAAACCAAGAAACAGGTAAGTGGACATAAACTTGACTGTTCAAATCAGAATGCTTATGAAGGTGTAAGCGTTGACTAGAAAAAATTTTGTAGGCACAAGTATAAGCTCAAATGTCTGGAGCAAACTAAAATTGGGATGTATGGCCACTTACACAGTTTCTAAAGAGTAAGAAAGCTAGAAATAATTCATTAACTTTAAGAATAGAATTTTTTTATACATTTCATTAACTTACTCATCAAACACAGCAAATGATGTTGCAACTGGATGAGTTCTAATATTCAGATAACTTTTCTTCTTTAAATTAACTTCTGCTAGTGCAGTTTCTTCATTTATAGTAACTTCAGGTAACTGTACTATAAAAAGGCAATTTCGTAAAGTAAGTCTCTCGCCCTACTGTAAGTAACAGTTTCTATTTCTAGGCTTTTTTGCAAATTCATTTTTCCCTCTAACTTATCCAGAACATTCTTATTTTAAAAAAAGAAAAAGCCTTCAAACAATTAAGATAAATACAGTAGATAAAAATATTTTTCAGAAAACCTAACATCTGTAATACTGCTTTTTAAAATAAGTTTAAGAAATCAAAATGAGTGTCAATAATGTGTAACTACTTTCCATCTGCAAAGTATTCCTTTAAACATTTTCATTGTAGTTATTTCTTCATCGACACTCTCATAAAGTAGTAGTATACCCATTTCATTACAAATAAGGAAACTTCAGCACAGACCAGTAGAGCCAGCACTCAAATATAAGTCTATGATTTAATGCTCTATGCTAACTAGATTTCTGCCTCCAACCAGTTTATTATCTATTTAGCAGTGTAATACGGGTATATATACAGTTGTACAAATCAATCTTTCTAGACTCCTTTACCATGAAAGGTGACATTTGTAGCCTTTTCAGTAAAAACATTCATTCTTCTTTTAGCAACATCACATAAAGAACTTAAGAAAATATTTCAGATCTTCACCAACTACCTAGACTATAGTTAGAACTCTTATTCACCCATATTAACACTAATTTGGGAAGGACTGCAGTCCTAGCTCAAGTAAATGAGTATGGTAAAGGCAACATTATAAATACTCTGTTCAAGAATATAAAACTTCCAAGTATATTTGGAAAGATTTTTCGGTATTATGTTCACAAACCTGGGAACACGTGATCGACAGGTAAATCTTAACAAAATCTTTGAAAATTATATTGAACAAATCTTTACAAAATATTCTGACCCATCTGTAGGAGTATTATCTTTTATTGAGATTACTTACCATTTTTTAAAGCTGCTAACAAAGCAAACGTACAAGCATCCAAAATGTTTCCATCATAGTCGAGGCAAATGAGATCACAGTACAGAACCCAAGCAAGCTGAAATAGTTTTGTACAAAAAGAAATTAAAGCCTTGGGATGAGCAGAACATACTGTTTACTCAGACTTAACCACAGAACCTCTGGTTAAGCAAGATAACCTTCAAGTCTCAAAAACTTAAAAATGATTTTTTCTTTATAAACAGGAAGAACAAAAAAAGTAGGTAGGATTGGTGAAAGGCTTTTTGACTATCAAGCAAGAAATGAAGATCTCCACTTCCCTAAGGGAGCTACAGATGTAGAAGGAATTTCCATTCCTATTCTTAGTTTAGAGATGTATTTTTTCAAAGCTCTAACCAAAACTCAAAATGTACTTTGTACTTTCCCACAGAATCCTTAAAAATGAAATGTTTAGGTTTCACAATGCAAATCAATCAGTAAGTAATCCAGTAAGAAAAGCTCTCTGGGTTCTAATCAGCATAACTCAAGTTTTCAAAGACTTGGAATCTGCTGTGTGGATTGACATTAAATGCATTAGCACAATCAGAAATTAATCTAAGGGGAAACAGCAGTTAATGTAATGGCTATGTCACTGGACTCCCACTTAGTCGACCGCGGTTTGTGTCCTGGACCCGGTGACTTAAAACTCACGCAGGGCATATGTGCATGTGTGCGTGCGTGCGTGCCCAAGATGCTGAGAGGAGAATGGAGGAGAAGGGATTGTGGCGTTACCATCCCCCCTGGGGGGTGATTTCTCGCTTTCTGTCTCTATGTCTCTCTTGTCTGTCTGGCGAGCACACGCCTCTCTGTTCTGTCGGGCGAGCACACGGCCCTTATAGTGAAAATCTCTCCAAAAAAAAAAAAAAAAATCTGCTAAGGAGTAAAAATGACTACATTTTTCTCTTAAAAGTTAAGGGAGGGGGGACCAGCAGAGAGCATAATGGTTACATCACTGGACTCCCACGTAGTTGGCCATGGTTTAAGTCTGGGACCTGGCAGCTTAAAACTCAACGCTCAGCACATGTGCCTAAAATCCCGAGAGGAGACTGGAGGAGAAGGGACTGTGGTGTGGCCATCACCCTGGGGGGTGACTTCTCGCTTTATTTCTCTCTGACCCTGTCTCTCTAGAGAGCACACATGCCCTATAACAAAAAAATCTCTTTATGAAAAAGGAAAAAAAAGGGAGGGAGCTAGCAGATGGCATGGAGGTTAAGGTACAGGATCCCACATGGCAGGCTGCATGGGCAGCTTGAGAATCATGGTGGGTATGCGTGTCTGTGCGCCCCCAAATCCCAAGAGAATGGAGAAGAAATTATGGTGTGGGCCTGCCCCCAACTCTATGCCTCTAACAGAAAACAAACATAGGGAACCAGCAGTTAGCGTAATGGCTATGTCGCTGGACTCCCACATAGTCGACCGCAGCTGGCAGCCTGGAGCCGGTGGCTTAGAACTCACGCCGGGTGCGTGTGCGTGCGTGCCCAAGATCCCGAGAGGAGAATGGAGAAGAAGGGATTGCGGCGTGACCATCTCCCCTGGGGGGTGATTTCTCGCTTTCTGTCTCTATGTCTCTCTGTCTGGCGAGCGCAAGCGCCCTATAGTGAAAACCTCTCAAAAAAAAAAAACAAAGCAAATATAGAGCAGGGCCAGCAGGTGGTGGAGGGGTTAAGGCAGCTAACTGTGGTTTGAGTCCCAACTCAGCAACTTGAGAAAAGAGCTGCCCAAAAAAATCCAAAGAGGGGAAAATGGAAAAGATTGAGGTGTAGTCACTCCCACAGCCTACCTCCAACCCTCCAACATGTGCTTTTTTTTTCTCTTTCTACTTCCCTCTGCCCCTGCGCCTACTAGTGCACATGCCTTTCAGCAAATTAAAAATTAAAGGAAAAATGACCTCAACTTAAAAGTCATTTAACAGGCAATAAGTCAGAGTTCTCTTTATGAACTTCATATAGATAGAGGAAGATTGATCTTTTAAAACTAATTCCATCTATTATTAAAACCTGTAAGATATCCATGTATAAGGCCACTGTTGTTTGCTGTTTTAATTTCCTTGTTCAGTTTCCTCACCAAAAAAACTTAATGAATTAATAAAATCTCACAATTTCTCTATTTCTCTTACCTTTCCTGGAGAAATGCATAAGTCCTCTTTCTGAATTATCTGTGAACTTGATTTAATGACAAAGAGCACAATAAATGAAAAGGTCAGAATCTATTTCAAAATGAATGACAGTAAAATTCTATCTTATCATGAAGGTCTTACTTTTCAATGACATCTGCAATGAACTGGCTAGCCACTTGGGCCTCTTCTCCAGGAGGGCCTGACCGAAATCTCGATGAACACAGGGGTGGTAGATCCACATTAGGAACTGAAAGAAACACTCTGCAGCTATGAACTAAACTTTACCCTCTGGTTTATTAAAGGTATTACCAATCCATAGCAAAAGTGACTGTGGTCATAGGCTTTTCAAAGTGGAAAACCTGTAACATTATATTCTTTGTGGTCTTTATAAAACTCCTAGGCCCAGTGAAGTGTGGTCATGCTGCCATCCATTCTCCTTCATAAAATGGAGAATCTTATGAAATACAAGTTTGCAATAGCTCTTTGACCAAAAAGTTTTCTTGATTGAAGACATCTAAATATTTAAACGAAAATTGACTGAACAAATTAAAGGTTAAATTTATGAAATTCTAATCTTCTACTAATACATAAAAAACTTTTGGGAACCAGCAGTTAGCGTAATGGCTATGTCGCTGGACTCCCACGTAGTCGACCGCAGTTCGCGTACCAGACCCAATGGCTTAAAACTCACGCCAGGCGCGTGTGCGTGCGTGCCCAAGATCCTGAGAGGAGACTGAGAGGAGAATGGAGAAGGGATTGCAGCGTGACCATCCCCCCGGGGGGTGATTTCTCGCTTTCTGTCTCTAATGTCTCTCTCTGTCTGTCTGGCGAGCGCACGCGCCCTATAGCAAAAATCTCTCAAAAAAAAAATAAATAAATAAAAAACTTGGGGAATGTGTTTCATTTCTGTTGGGAATAACTTTTTACCTAACTCAATAGGACAAAACTACAATTAGAATTGAATATATTAAAGTATTTATGTTAAAATTACAAAATAACTTACCAATATATCCTTTATTAGGGGTATCTGTTGGTGGTGCTGCAAATTCCTACAGAAGCAAACAAATGTTCCTATTGAAAAAAGCTACTAAAAATTTGCAAAGACAGTTTGGCAATCAGTTAAAGGCCCTACCAAAAACCATCTTAGCTAATCAGAAGCATCTACTCTGATGGGAGAATAGTGTCAGCGGTTCCAAGGACATTGCCTCTGATCCTCACAATAGCACTGCAATGTTAATAGACTACGTTACAGTTCATGAAGATTACCTGGGGATCTTTTTAAAAATATTACTTGTGGTCTGCCCCACCCTCTTTCCCACTCATTCAGTGGTCAAGAATCTGAATTTAACACCCAGGGGAGTGCTCGCTTCGGCAGCACATATACTAAAATTGGAACACCCAGGGGATATTGACACAGCCAGATTTAAGAGTTGGTGTAGTGGTCAGAAGCAAAAGTTCTGTATCCCTAACTCAGTCCAAATGTCAGATGGATACATGCTGGTTGAGAGTTTGGGCAAGTGATTTAGTGGGAGAAAAAAACTGTGCCTATTCCTAGGAACTGTTAATAAGGGTTAAGTGAGACAGTGAAGTCTCCAATGTAAAACCTGGCAATGAGTAAATGTTCAAATTACTCTTAAGGTATAACCCAAGCTTTACCAAAGAGAATCTGAACTTAGGTTAAGTAGTGATGTAGTAGAGTCCAAAAAGCACAGGCTATGGTTAGATTTATGTCTAAGTTCTATTTGGCCTTGCAGACCTGTACGAGTTATTGAACATCTCATAAAACAAAATATGCAGAGACAACAAATGATTATTCTGAAGATTAAATTGGATAATTCTGTAAAGCACCTAAGAACACGTCTAGAACATAAATACTCAATAAATGGGAGCTATTATTCTCTTACTTTTTCTTTTTTTTAACAAACTCAATGTTCTACACATTTCCACAGATTAAATGCCATCACTGACTAAAAGAATGTCACCAAAAAGGGAAAGTGAGAAATCACCCCCACAGAGAGGATGTCCATGCCTCAATCCCTTCCAGTCTCCTCAGGATTTGGCACACACACACACACACCCATGAACAGTGTGATATTCGAGCAGCTGGGTCCAAGACTCAAACTGCACAGTCAGCCGTGTGGGATCCTATGCCTTAACCTTCTTGCCACCTGCTGGCTCTTTTGAGAAATCTTAATTGCTCAAAAGGTAAAACCAAAACTCTTTAAAATTACAAGTGATGATGACTTAAAAGCAGCTTTACTTTGGTACATTTGACAAATGTTCCTCAATTATAAAGTCATTAAAATTGGGTCATATTATCTAATGATCATAGGTGAAAGCCTTGGGGAAATTAAATACTAAAAAACAACTGCCTAATCAACAGAATCATAGGTGTATATTACAATCAAATAAATGAAGATAATCTGTTAAATCTCAACAGGAAAAATATTAAACCTACCGCTTTAACTCCACAAATTACTGTAGTATTTCCCAGCTTCACTAATGCAGAACCATCTGCAGTACTAATTGAACCTAAAAAGGTAAGTAAGCAATAAAAAGTCCATAAAAGGAAAATAGCTATAGAATAGAATAGTTAAGTTTTAGTTTGCTACATATGATTAATTTGCTATACATGTCAGCAGCTTAAGAAAATTCACTCCAAGTTCAAGTCAGTGACTTTGAAATGTAGAACTATTTAAAATTACTGTTGTAAGAAATTTTTCACCTGTCACTGAATTTGAGTTAAACATTTTCCAGGCAATAACAGGAACGATTAAAAATATTTATATGTATTTCTCTTGACACAAAATTATCAGATAGCTAAGACATGGTAGTATTGGGCTGAAAAGTTGTTTTAGTCATTCAGATGCTAAAACTTGGGAATATCATGCAATTGAAACTGGAAAAATATATCCTTACCTATGTTGACAGTTGTGGTTCTGAATTCACCAAGTTCTCTTCCATCAGGACGGCAGTTCTCCTTCTAAATGTTTGTTTGTAAGAAAACAGATTATATCTATGTGTATGTTTACATATACACCATGGAAAAAAATTAAAACTCATTAATTTTTTAAGAGGTTTTTTTTTTTTTTTTTTGGCTATAGGGTATGTTGGCTCACAGGAGAGACACACAGAAAGCAAGAAATCACTCCCCAACCCCCATTCCCAGGGGTGGGGTGGCCATGCTGCAATCTCTTCTCCATTCTCCTCTTAGGATTTTGGGCGGGCATCACATACCCGGCATGTTAAGCTGCCGGGTTTGGGACTCAAACCCTTGTTGACTACCTGGGAGTCCACCTATGTTATCATTACCTACTGGTCCCAAACCTCATTAATTCTAATGAATTAATATAAATGACTTAAAATTTGTCTTTAAAAAGTATATTATTCTCAAAAGGCATATAACATACATAATTACATTTATTTACCAGAAATCTCCTGTAATACTCCAGAGGTTCCACGGTTCTGAAACATGTATTTAAAATATACCAGGTTAATGAATCTTAAAAAAAAAACAAAAAAGCAAAAGATGGTAAAGACCTTAAGAATGTGCTGATGTACCATAAACCTCCATAATACCTTTCATGATTCTTATGTTTACATTGTCACCTGTAAGTAATTATAAAAAGATGCCTTCTACTCTTGGAGTAGCAATCACATTCAATTGCTGCCCTTAACTCTGCCTTAAAACATACAGGATTAAGGTCTAAATCTTTAAGAGGATTTAATCCAGGTGTTAAAATACTCATTTCATTCCTGTCTGGGGGATTCTTAACCTAGTGACCACGAAAAAGGCTAATTTTATTTTCCATGTAATTAATAGTGGGCTTATTATTCGGTTGTGACTGTGCACAATAAACCATTTTAACATTAGCAACACCTGCAACTTTAACCACCACAGAGGTCATAGATGTTTTTAGTTGTGAAAAGTTTAAGTTTAGGCTCAATGGTTATTTGGAAATTACAGGAGTTATGAGAACTGCCACTAGCTCTTGTTGAAGGAATTCTAAACCAACTTTACCTATTGCTACATCACGAATTCGGAATTTACACACACATTAAGAGAATTGTCGACAAAACTGGCTTTCTCTGGAGTCCTACCGTTCTATCCATTTAAAAACCGAGTCAATTGGTTTCACCAGCTTGGCACCCCCCAAAAAAATATGTAAAACGCTCCGGAAAAGGCACGACCCTTTTAGGAAAAAAACGAGATAGGAACTGGGCAGCAGGTCCTTTTGCGTAAACAATTTTTCTAAGTTTGCAACTGAGTCGCTTGGGTATGCGTTCACTATACACTAAACTCACAAGCGCTCCAGTGCGCAAAGAACTGCACGGTCCCTTCGCCTCTCCTTTCCTTTCCCTGTGACCACCTCCAAGTTCTTCTATGTCGCCTGCCACAGCAGGGAAAGAAGACACCGCAGATGGAGAAATCACAGCAGAGCGTTAAAGGAAATAGAGGTCCACCGGGTACAGACTCGGCCCCGCAAGCCGCCAACACTCACTTGAACCCGGCCGCCATCTTCCCGCCCACGTGCTCGCGCCTGCGCGGCTCCTCCCGCCTGAGCGCCGGCCTCGCTGCGGCACTTTCCGCGCGCAAGCCGGGGCGCGTCTCCGCGTGTATGAGAAGTTGAAGGCGAGGGCTGGGAGTGAGTGCGCCTCCGCACGCGGACAGGGCAGTTCTTGGCCTGCCCCCGCAGTGATCATCCCTACCCAGATGCTTCTCCACGCTTCCCCGCCTTGGACGTACTTTGACGAATCTGCTACTAGAGACGTGATTAGGTGTCCCTGACTAGCAAAAGGGTGGTAGTTCTGAATCATGTCAACCCTTTAAGGTAAAGCGGTTTTATAGCCAGTAATTACGTGTTGCGTGTGAGCATTATTCCAGTGTTTCTGCGTCCTTTTTAGGTTAGGCCCTGGACTTGCCTGGCACCTGAGCGAGTTAACCTGGGCAAGTCTCAGAGCTGGCTTCCAAGGAGAAACGTGTGTTGTAGACGATCTCCTGGCTCGGGCTTCCCACCTCCCTCCTAGGTAGGGTTGCCAGATAAAGTATACGACACCCAAATACATTTGAATATTAGATGAAGAGTAATTGCTTAAGCTATGGGTATGCCCACAAATAGTGTATGTCGTGGGACCAGCACATGGCGTAATGACTCACAGATTTAAACTCACGCAGGGCGCATGTGCATGCGTGCCCAAGAACCCGAGAGGAGAATGGAGGAGAAGGTATTGGGTCTTGGTCGGGGGTTATTTCTTGCTTTCTGTCTCTGTCTCTCTTTCTGGCAAGCGCAGGTGCCCCATAGCAAAACCCTCTCAAAAAAAAAAAAAAAAGTATGTTGTTAGCTTTTACCAGGGGCTGGAAAAAATGGGAGACGTTTTAGGGATAGATAACAGTGGTGATTGCACAGCATTATGAACGTAATTAGTGCCAGTATATAGTACACATAATGGTTAAAGTGGGAAATGTTAGGTATTTTTACCACTAATTTTAAAAGTTAATATCAGACCAAAAACTTTTAAACAGATGAACTGTTTGGGACTATGAATTCTATCTCAATAAAGCTGTTAAACGGGACCAGCAGTTAGTTGTATGGCTATGTCGCTGGACTGCCAGACCTGGTGGCTTAAAACTCACGCCGGGCGCGTGTGCGTGCGTGCCTAAGATCCCGAGAGGAGAATGGAGGAGAAGGGAATCCGGCGTGGCCATCACCCCTGGGGGATGATTTCTCGCTTTCTGTCTCTCTCTGGCGAACGCACGCGCCCTATAGTGAAAACCTCTCCAAAAAAAAAGGAATAAAGCTGTTAAAATGTAGTAGTTGTTTTTCTGATGTTCAAAGTAAGTGGGCTTCTTGCACGTTGGCTAAACCGGCCACCCTGCTGTAGCCTAGCGCGTGCCTCTCTGCGGACTGCGCGACTGTCACGGGAGCTGCTTGTCTTCCTCCTGCCGCGCGGGGGCGCTGTGGGCGGAGGGCGCTCGGCCGGCGCCGCCCCTCTGGCGCCCGGGGGCGGGGCGCGCGGACGAGCTTCCGCGTGTGTGTAGGCGCAGGATAGGGCGTGCGGCTGCGGCGGCCGGGATGTCCAGCCTCCTGCTGCAGCTGGCGGTGCTCGGCTACGGGCTGGCGGCTGCTGCCCTCGTACTGGTGAGGACGGGGTCGGGGACAGGCACGGGCCTGCCTGGTGACTGCGGCTGCCCGGGCGTCCTCTGAGTTGCCTGCTCTTCCATGGTGTCTTTTCATCCAGCTTTCTCCATATTCTTGACCCCAAGATTGCCTCTCCTGGAATTCATTTTCTTCTTCCTCATTCTCCTTTTCTTCGTTTTTGGTCTTGGTTTTTTTTTTTTTTTTTTTAACTAGGTTTTTACCTTAGGGTGCCTGTGCTTGCTGGAGACAGAAAAGGAAAGTGAGACACATTGGGACATGCCATCAGCCCTCCATCCCCTTTTCACTTGCCCTCTAGACCTGGACCCCCTCCTGCCCACCTCCCCCAGATTTCCTCCTGGGCGTGTAGTTTTGCGTTCTGGCCGCACCCGAGGAGGTCTTGAACACCACCCCCACCGGATATGGCTCTCTGGACTCATTTTTTCCTGGTGTGATTAAGCAAATAGCAAGTTGGGACAGAGTACTGAAGGGAGCCATCTGTTTCAGATGGGAATTAATCAGTGGATCCAGAAGACTCCTTAAGGGCACAGGGTGAGCAAGAAGACATGCCTTAGATCTGGTCCTGTTGCCATCTGTCTGGAGTCTTTATGTACCAGGATGTATTAAACTCCAGTTGTACTGCTTCTAAACGGGACAGGACAATGGAATCAAACTAGGATCTTTTTTTCTTTAATTCTGGGAAGACAAAGACATTGTGAACACTTGCTGATACTTAACTGATAGAATATTTGCAAGGTGCCCTCTCTCCCACATAATTTGGCATGATCCTGCCATCTAGTAAGTAGAAAGTACTTTGCCATCCTTGACATTTAGATTTAACCAACTTTGTCTCAGGAAGACCCCTCTTCCATGTTCTCAGAGGGTTTGTAAATCTACAATTGAGGAAAAACAGTGCATCCTGACTTCTCTGGTGATGTGTGTCTAGGTGAGCAAGGAGTCCTGTCTTTTCCTAGTACTTGGAGAGTTCAAGTATTTGAGCAAATCAGGTTTTTGGTTGGGTGTTGTTCTTAGATTAAATCTGCTTTACAGTAATCTGTTGCAGGGACTCGTGTATATATTACAAAGTTGTACTGACTATTGATCCAGCTGACTTGAAGCAATGTTAAGAGCTAATTTTCATTGAGTACTTACTATGTGCTGGGTATCAGACTCAGAGTTTAGTAGGGATTATTTCATTTGATTTTTACAGCAATGCTGTGACATAATTATTAGCCTTAACTTCAGTTTATTGGTGGTGAGAAAACGAGCAGGAGAATGAACTCATGTACTCAAGTGTCACACAGTGGAAATTAGTTTTATGAGTTTTTTTTTTTCATGCCAGAACAAGAAATCATTTTAAAAAATTGTATTAGCAGACATTGGTGATCATTACCTGAATCCATTATTTCACTGAGAGTTGCAAAGTGAAATATTCTTACTGTATCATTCATTCTTCATTTATTAATCTGAAATTTTATAGTGAGAAAAAAATTCATCCTTAGCCATTTAGTTGCCATGAAATACTTTTCATATATAAAAGACAAGATAAAAGGCAGCATGCAAAATAATGAGATGGTTCCATGGCATCTTACAGAGGGGACCAGTTTTTATTTTTAGTATCATTATCAATATATGATTTTCAATATTTTCATGTGTTCCAATCCATTATAGCGGTTATCCTCTTTGATGCTCAAATCATGCAGCATCAGCCAGCGTGAGTCTGTTCCAGTTGGCTTCTTTGTCTTTTCAGCACAGCTCTTGTAATTGTTGTTGGCGTCTTTGCTTTCTGGTAACATAAGCTCTCTTCCACCATTTACATTCCCTGCTCCAGACCTGAGGGCTGGTTGCCTTAAGTTGGAAATTAAATTTAAAAACCACAGTCTGCAGACTCAACTGGCAAGCAGAAACTCTTAACCACTAGTCTGGATGCTACCTCTATGTTCATATTAGTGATTAACAGGAGCATATTCAGTTTCAATATATATTCAATAGAATAGTATAAATGGCCATCAACTTACAAATGAGTAACATTCCAAAAATTTGCAGATTGTTTTGAAAGTGGAAAGCATGCCAATAAAAATGTTACAAAGAACATCATTATGTTGTTATCTTATAACATGGTTATTTCTGAAGCTAGTTCCCAAGTGCATACTGGAAAGGCTCCTTCAAATTTGATACTTTACTCCAAAAAATGCTGTGCTCTGAATTCAAGTTTTGGGTATTGAGAACATTTTTGTAAGCATTACTGATCTCTACTGTGGAGGTCAGGAAAATCTTTCTTACATATCCTGGGTCAGTCTGGTCCTGGATGGGAGGTCTCCTCTCACTCCATACGTTTTAACTGCAGTATGAGCTTGTTTTCTGTCACCTGTAGGCTGCAAGTAGGGATGGAACTTTAGTCTGTGTGTGTGCAAGTATGTGCATGTCACGGATCGGAGTTTCAGGGCATGTAAGTGTACACTGGACTTAACCATAGTGACTGTTTCCTTTCAAGTCAGGGTGAGACAGAGGCTTGGGGAATGACAAGTGAAAAGAGACACCTAAGGCATTGGCACCTTCTCTTCTAATGAAGAAAAGGCAGGCATCAGTTCATGCATAGGAGACTGTCTTCTAATTTTGGAGTTACTTCCAGACCATTACTAAACTCAAAACAGAGTGAATATCCACCAAAAGGAGGAAAAAAATGTCTTGTGCTTTATTGAAACGTAAAGAATGTCAAACCAGCATAACATAATTTCTTTTACACATATCCACTTTTAGATTTCCCTTGTTGCAATTATAACTGCCACAAAAATGCCACCACTTCATCGACATGAAGAAGAGAAGTTCTTCTTAAATGCCAAAGGCCAGAAGGAAACTTTACCCAGCATATGGGACACACCTACCAAACAACTTTCTGTGATTGTGCCTTCTTACAATGAAGAACAACGATGTAAGTCTTTTAAGCCTTGTTTTTGTTTTTGTTTTGGTAAAGGTATAAGAAAAGGAAATGTAAAGGATTTGACTTGTCAGCCCATCAGTAGATGTAGGCTGCAGTGCATGTGGTTGGTAATACTGCAGAAGTTGGGAAAGTGAGTATCGGCTGTAGTGAGTGTATCGGAAGCATTGTGAGGCAGTGGGACTGAAGTGTTCTAGAGAAGTAGTAAGGAGGAAGGGAGCAGAAGACTGGGTATAGCCACCACAGGAAAGTCCCAGAAGAGCTTGCTACATTGTTGGGACTTTTTCCTTATGTAAACTAAGCATGCTGGGGCTTGGTATATTAATCATTTTCAAAAGCAAATTTTAATGTACTTTTTTTTCTTTAAGTGCCTGTAATGATGGATGAAGCTCTGGGCTATCTAGAGAAGAGACAGGTATCATATTTTCTCTTCAGTATGATGTCTGCAGTTAAAAACTAGGTCCTCAACTTGTGGATCCCAAGGTAGATGCACTGTGAGAGGCAGTACTGGAAGAATCCTGATCCTGGGTCCTGGCTGCTCAGCTTGTTGCCAGCTATCAGCCAGCAAGCCCTGCATGTCACGGCCAAAGCAGGAAGTGAGCCCAAGACAAATGAGAAAGCTGAAATTTCTCTTTATGTACCCTCCTACCTACTTTTTATTCTCTTTTGCATAATGATATATTTTAAATTGAGCAATATTGTATGCCTGCAGGCTTTGTATGGTGGTGCAATGCTGTTTTTACTTTTGCATGTTTTGTTTTTTAATTTGCCATAGGGTGCATGCACTCACTGGGGAGGGGAGGGCAGGACACAAAACATCCCCTGGAGGGATAGCCCTGCTGCATTCTCTTCTCTTCCCTTCTCCTCTTAGAATTTTGAGCATCCACACACACGCACCTGACCTGTTTTCCAAGCCACCAAGTCCAGGATTTTTACCACACAGTCAGCAATGTGGAATCCAGCCACCCTACCCCTACCAGGTGGTCCATGATTGTTTTTAAAAAGCTACATTTTGAAAGTCTTACACTTAGGCTGAAATTATTTTGTGTTCTTATTCTCAGGAGTACTCACATAAATTCCTCTTTTGCCCGCAAAAGTACACACATACCCTTCTTTTACAGTGTCAGCCACTGTCACATTCTTCTTATAGAGGTTAATAAGTAAATGAATTTGGGACCAACAGATGTCATAATGGTTATGTTACTGGACTCCCACATAGTCGACTATGGTTTGAGTCCCGGATGCAGCGGCTTCAAATTCATACTGGTGTGTGTGTGTGCATGACCAAAATCCCAAGAGGAGAATGGAAGAGAAGGGATTGTAGCGTGGCCATCCCACCTAGGGGTTCAGTGATTTCTAACTTTCTGTCTCTGTCTGGTGAGTGCACGTACCCTATAGCAAAAATCCCTTAAAAAATAAAATAAAATAAGTAAATTATGGCCAATTACTTTTTTCGTTGTTTTGTTTTGTTTTGCTTTTTTATTTTTTAGCTTGTGATAGGGCATATGGGCTCACCAGAGAGGGAAAGTCAGAGAGCACCCTCCAGGGAGGATGACCACTACACAGCCCCTTCTCCATTTTCCTCTTGAGATTCTGGGCATGCACAGATGCACACCCAGCAGGCTTTTCAAGCTGCAGGGTCTGGACTTGAACCACACAGATGGTCATGTAAGATCCAGCCACCTCACCACCATACCACTGGCTAGTTCTGGTTCTTTTTTTTAATTTGGTTTTTATTTATTTTTTGTGTGTGGTATTTTGGGTTTTTTTTAATAAAGGGAAAGTAGGAGATTATTTTGAGAGGAGCCAGTATTACTCAAAAATATTGAATTTAAAGGGATTTAAGCCCTCATGTGTGAGGCTTCTACCTTTCCTCACATATAGTCTTTACTCCAGCCACATGGACTAGGTTGTGTTGTTTTTGTTCTTATTTTTTTGTTTTTGTTTTTAAGTTTTTTAAATAAGAAAACAGGGCCCTGCGACAGAGCAACATGCTACTGGAACATTTTGCTTTACCACTGGGACCACATGGGAGGCCCATGTTGGATTCTTAGTCCAACCTAAAGGCTGGGGCATAGCAGCATACCTGTAATCCCAGCCAGCAGACTGAGGCAGGAGAATGGAGATATGGTGACACTCTGTCTTAAAATATAAATGTGTGTCTATATTTGTATATATTAAAAAAATAGACTGGGGTTGGCAGGTGGTGTGATGATTAAGGTGCTGAACTCCCACATGATCAGCCATGGTTTGAGACCCAGACCTGGCGAATTGAAAATCATGCTGGGTGTGTGTGCATGCATGCCCAAAATCCCAGGTAGAGAAAGGATCGCAGCATGGCCATCCCTACTCCCTGCCCTCCACCCCCACCCCAGAAGTGATTTCTCACTTGACCGTCTGGTAAGTGCATGCTCTCTAGACAAAAACCTTAAAAAGAAAAGAAAAATAGGTCAGAAAACTTAAGGTGCTAAGGTTGTAAGGCTAAGAAATGGTACAGCCAGGTTGCAATCTCCTCTTTCTGACTTCAGATCTTTTGGGCTCCTTTCTTGTATGCTGTGGCCTCTCTCAAATGAGCCTTGGCATGACACATACTTGGCTTCTTCCACTACAGCAGAGCAGGGCATGCGAGAGGAAGAGTGGGGAGATTTAGTGTTTCTGGCCTCTGCTCTTACCCAGTATTGCTCCTTTTTGTTCTTAGACTTTTTATTTAATGTGCCTTTTGTACTTACTTTATATTCATATTTATACACATCAACACTAAAACAATTTGTTTTTAAACTGTTTATGATGTTTTAAGAATTGTTGATAGCAGTTATGCCACATTGTGATATTTTGTTTTTTTGGGTTTTTTTTTTGCAGAAACAAGATCCTGCTTTCACTTATGAGGTCATAGTAGTTGATGATGGCAGTAAAGACCAGACTTCAAAGGTAACTACACTTGCTGTTAGAATTGCCAGTAGATAGAAAATATGTGAAATCTTATTTCTGATCCCCAGAGAATCCTAAAGCTGTGCCTCATCCTGGTCATTGTCTAATGTGAGTAGTAGGAAAAAGCAGACTTCATTTATTCATTTATTGAAAAGCTAGAAAATATCCCAGCTGTTCCACTGCTTCTTAGGACCAGGGAAGCTTTGAAGACAGGGAGAGAACATACCTGACAGCAGTTCACATTGGACTTTAGAGAATTTTCTTTGCCTAACAACTTATAGCTTCTTTTTTTTCTCTAAGCATAATCCCTTTCTTTCTTTATGCTCCACTTTCCCTTACAGTTCCTAAAACAGTTATGCAAATAGGAAGCAGCCTTCATATATGCCACTGGGTATCAGGTATGTCCTTTCGCATGCCCCTTCTTGGTCTCCCCAAGTCTGAGGGCATTCTCCCTGTTCATTCCCAGACCTGTAACTGCCAGACCTAGTTGCACTGAGGTTTCTAGTAGTACGTTTATTAAATCTCACCACTGGGACCAACAGATGGTGTAGCGGTTCAAGTACTGGGCCTGGTGGCTTCAAACTCACGCTGGACATGTGTGTGCACCCAAAATCCTGAGAGGAGAATGAAGGAGAAGGAACTACGGTGTGGCCATCCTCCCTAGGGGATAATTTCTTGCTTTCTGCCTCTCCGACGAGCGCATACACCCTATAGCAAAAATCTTTCCCCCCACCAAAAAAAAAAAAAAAAAAATTTCACAAGTGTCTTTGAAAAAAAACATCTGAAAGTTTTTATTACTAAGATGCCTTAGTAAGGGCCAGCAGGTGGCATGGTGGTTAAGGCACAAGACTCCCACATGGCCGACTGCAGTTTAAGTCCCAGACCTGGTGGCTTGCTTTCTCTCTCTGGTGAGCACATGCCTCTTACAGCAAATTTAAAATAATAATAAATAAAAACTAATTAAAAAAAAAGAATGCTTTACTGGCCAGTCAGGTGGCATGGTAGTTAAGGTGGTTGTACCCCACATGGTCAACTGCATGATTTGAGTTGTGAACTGGTGATTTGAAAACCATGCCAGGCACATGTGTGCACCAAAAATCCAGAGAGGAGGATAGAAGAGGGATTGTGGCATGGTTATCTCCCCTGAGTGGTACTTTCTCACTTTCTATTTCTCTCCCTGATTCTCTGGTGAGAGTACATGTCCTATAGCAAACTAAAAATAAGGAAAGGGGAAAGAAAAAAGAATGACTCATGTTTTCGAAAATTCTTTGGCATTCATGTTTCTATAATAAAAGATTAATATGTGATGCTTTTAATAGTCTTGTTAAATAGCAACACAGTGGACCTTAAAACAAATGTAGAGAGAAATGTTCATTCACTTGATTATTCATTGGTTAATGATTTTCATTAAATACCAGCCATGCACGAAATCCTAGAACTGGAAGGCCACACAAACACAGCAGCCTATGCCTTTGTGTAAGGTGTCTATGGACAGTCGTCCAACAAGCCCACAGATTCTGGAACCTAGGTAAAAAGTGGAGCAAAAGGTAAAAGGCTGTAATCAAATTCAGAATAAAAGGAAGTAACTATTGGACTAAACTTTCAAGATTGGTTGTGAGTAGGAACAGGAAGGACAATATATTCTGATTTTTAAAATGTGTAACCAAAGGCATAGAGAGACCAGAAAACATTGGTGGGGTCTGCCTTAGGCAGGATAAGTATTATACTTTGAAGAATGAGTGTGATGTGTTAAGTTTCGAGCAGAGACTCTGCGCAGTTTATTCCTACTTCAGGGGAAGATCACAGAAATTAGACCTGCTGCTGAGGTCCCAGAAGTAGCTTTTCCTGAAGAGCACTTGGTGGCCGTTAGCATGGTAACGGCAGGCTGGGAGGACTGGGATGCCCCTACCCCAGCTGGGTAGGTGAGGGACAAATTGGCAGTTGTCCCTAAGACTCCCAAGGTTGAAAGAATTGGAACACTTGAAATCATGTTTAGCAGAAGTTTGTATTTAAAAAGAAAAGAAACTGGCTTACCTAAGTTGTTACTGACTGCTTGTTAATGTCTCATACTCATGAGAGAGATGAGGAAAAAATTGTTTTTAATTATCAGAAGACACACACACTCACCAGAGAGAGACAGAGGCAGAGATGAAGGGAGAAAGCACCCCCGAATAAGGCATGATCACAACAATCCCTTCTCTTGTTTCTCCATCTTTTCAGATTTGGGGCATACACACATGCATCTGACATGTCCTTCAAGCCAGTGGATTGAGATTCCAACTGTACAGTGAACTATGAGGGTTCCTGCTCCCTTAACCAACTAGACTATGGGGCCAGCCTGTATGAAGGAAATTTTATGATTCTTGTTCTAGAGAGACCAAGGAGGCAAAACTTAGCACCAAACCCAGTATAGGAGAATATTGTGGCTGTACAGTGACATTTATTGTACCTTGTGTATTATATTAGAAAGATGAGTAAGTACTCATTGTGAACTAAATTCACGTGTGTGGACAAGTGACAACTGCTTCAGTGCATGAAGGGACACACTATAAAACTACAACACACGCTTCCCTTTTGCAAAAAGGTGTGACTTCAAGAGCATTTGCTTACTTCAGAGCTAGATACCATGTCCCTATAGAGGGAGCCTTTTATCCTAGCCAAGTAGTTTCTTTGGTTTCACTCAGCTCTTTGCTCAATGACTTCATCTTCCTGGTTTTGGTGTCTTGTGATGAATATCAACCTTTGTGCCATTCCAAAGTAAACATCAACAATTCAAAAATGTGTTCTCAGAATAGACATTTCTTCAGCTGTCAGCATGAGCCAAGAGCTCTGACTGGTACAAGAGTATAAAGGTGTTAGAACTCCCTCTTCTTCGAAGGAGTTCACAGCTACCACCAAAGACATGCCTTAGACAATTAGAGTACAATGTGTTAGAAATCTTTCCCAAGAACTGTTTTATGGAGAGCAACTAAGGTAAAAAAGACAGTTAATTATCTCATATGCAAGGAAGTTCTCGGGACAGGTGGTTCTGAAGTCAGATCAACATTTAAACAGTGTCAAGGTGTTAGAATAACATCTTCCCAGTTCTCACACGTTCCCTCATCGTAAAATGGCCACAACTCCAAATAGAATATGCCCCGAAGCTGAGACAACCAGAACTTTAAGAATCTTCTTTGTATGGTGCACAACCTTCCCTCGATGAAGCGGGAAAATGGGACCCCAAGTGAGAGTGACAGTGGACTTGTAAAAAATAAGTACAGACAGACACAGAAGTAGAGAAAAGTAAGGTTAGGCGGACCGGGCGCATCTGATGGAGATCTCCACAGCACTGAGCCATTTCCAGGTTTACTCTTTCATAGTGCAAAGGGAAAAAGGTAAGGCAAAGTAAAGGCAGGTGTTTTCTATTACCCACTGCCGCTGTGGAGCATCTTGCGTCCTGCAGTTCTAAATAAGCCTCCTCGGCCTGCTCTGGCTGACACACAGCTTCCTTTAATTTACACCACCTTGCAGTGCAAAAATAAAAAAATGAAAAAAGAGCAGATCATGTCCTTGTTAGAACTTTTGCTAGTCTTGCAGCATCAGCACAAGGACCGTATCTCTGTCTTTAAAGGTCATTATTTTGTTGCTCAGATTTGGCTGCTCCCTATAGTATGGCACTTTTCTTTTTAACTAGGAATAAAAATTTTCACCAGAAGCCCTGTTCTAACCCCCAGAAGACCTCTGTAAGCATTCACAAGCCAGAATTTGGTCACATGGCCACCAGAGCTGCAAGGGAGGGTGAGAATATGGTTGACAAAAGGATGTAGACCAATCACGATTCATCCCGCATGGCTGCACAATTGACTATGTAAGATGAAGGCCATAATAGGGAAGAAGGAGGCATTGTTTGTTAGATAGGCAGCTACCTGGCAGGGCCTGGCCAGTGCTACAACAGAAGTATGAACAAAGCACCATGGCTGCATTTCTCATTGAGGTTAAGGAATTACACACTGTATGTCAGGCACTAGAAATATAAACTTTGCCTTTTAAGAAGCTCACATCCTAGTGAGGAAGGTCTACAGTTAACATTATGATGAGTAAGGGAACACTTAAATGGGGAAAACGCTTTAGGACTACATATTCTTTTTTTTTTTTTTTGGAGAGGTTTTTGCTATAGGGCACGTGCGCTCACCAGACAGACAGAGACAGAGAGACAGAAAGCAAGAAATCACCCCCCAGGGGGGATGGCCACCCTGCAGTCCCTTCTCCTCCATTCTCCTCTCGGGATCTTGGGCATGCACACACGCCTGGCGTGAGTTTAAGCCATGGGTCCGGGACTCGAACCGCTGTCGACTATGTGGGAGTCCAGCGACATAGCCATTACACTAACTGCTGGTCGCAGGATTACATATTATTAAAATTATACTTTTCTCTTTTTTTTTTCTTTTTTTTTCCACATTTTATTGAGTCACAGAATACCTTAAACTAAAAATATGAACAAAGCTAGAATCTAGTTACAAGTACACTGTCATTTTATCCTGAAACATTTTTTAAAATTAATTTATGTTAATTCCTTGAGCAGCGTCACAGCATGTAAAATGTGATTTCTCATTCAGAATATACTGTATAGTAACATAATCATACTTGTTATTATCAATAATTTTCCAATTCTAGTTTCATATATGTGTGTGTGTGTGTGTGTGTGTGTGTGTGTGTGTGTGTGTATTTTACCCCTATTTCTGACCCTCTGCCATTTCCCACCCTCCTCCCACACTGTCTCAGGTGTCTACAGTTGTTTTCCATTCCTTTTCCCCCCACATTTTATCGATTCACAAAATTTCTTAAATAATCTACTTTCAATAGCAAGTTCATCAGCTGGTATGTACATATCTGTGAATATATGTCTGACTTTAGGTGTGAAACTCTTGAGTAGAATGAATATACTATAAGGTAGCACCTAGCTGATGCAATATAGCTTACTATGGTCATTAAATAGGTATTTTTTAATGTATTTTTTAATTTCAAGAAAACCAGTTTTAACTTTAATAAATCAAAGAAATGCTAAGGAACTTTGCTTAAAACTTAAAGCCAGGAAACAGGTTAGGGTTCTGTTCAAATAGGAGGTACGTGAACCTATTGTCAGCTCAAGACAGGACAAAAATCCTTAAAACTGGAGAACAAAGCCTAAAAGAAAATCAGGAAAGTTTTAGTCAAAGTTACCCGTTCAGTCTCATGTATTTAATCTATCTTCTGTTGTGGCTCAATCTTCCCAGTTACATTCTGTGATATAATATTCAAGTCCAGACTTGTCCCTAAGATTAAGTTGACCATTTTCTTAGTTTTTTAACTCTTATTTCTGTGTATCTGTATTTAATTTTCCTAGGATAGCACTCCCGGGAGAACTTCTTGGAGATCTGGTCTGGTGTTGGTAAATTCTTTTTTTTTTTTTTTTTTTGGAGAAGTATTTGCCATCGGGTGCGTGCACTCACCAGACAGACAGAGAGAAAGAAAGCGAGAAATCACCCTCCAGGGGTGATGGCCACGCCGCAGTCTCTTCTACATTCTCCTCTTGGGATCTTGGGCATGCACGCACACGTGCCCAGTGTGAATTTTAAGCCACCTGGTCCAGTGACATAGCCATTACTCTAACTGCTGGTCTCTGGTATTGGTAAATTCTTTCAGGTTTTGTTTATCTGAGAATGTTCTTGTCTTTTCTTTCCATATGAAGGATAATCTTGCCTGATACAGTATTCTTGGTTGAAATTGCTTTTCCCTTAACACTTTGAATATTTGTTCCCATTCTTTCCTTGCTTGCATTGTTTCTGATGAGAGGTCTGCAGTTAGTCTGATGGGATATCCTTTGTAGGTAACTTGCCGTTTTTCTCTTGCCAATCTTAGTATCTTGTCTTTTTCTGTGGTTTTAGTTAATCTGACTATAATGTGTCTTGGAGAAGATCTTCTTGGGTTGATTCTATTTGGGGTCCTTTGTATTTCTTGGAGCTGGATTTTTAAGAGCCTCTCTAGGTTTGGAAAGTTTTCTTGCAGGATTTCATGAAATAGATTATCAATGCCCTTATGAGTCTCTTTGCCTTCTGGGATACCAATTATATGGATGTTTGGATATTTAATGGTATCTAGTATTTCTTATATATTATTCTCATTTTTTGGGCAATTTTCTCAGTCTTTGTGGTGAATTTTTCTAGGCCAGCGATGCTATTTTCTACGTCTGAGATTCTATTTTCTATATGATCTAGTCTGCTTTTAATACTTTCAAGAGAGGTTTTGACTTCCTGTATTGTAGCCTTCATAATCCCTAACAGGTCCATTTGATTCTTGCTTATAGTGTGTAATTCCTCTTTTAGATCTTGCAAGAATTTTCTTACCTCCTGGATCTCATCAGCTCCTTTCTCCTGCCTCTTTGCAGTTCTTTGTCTTTCTTCTCTTCCATCTCTATTAACTTCATCACTATGAGTATTCTATATTCTTTATCAGATATTTCCATTGAACTGTCTGTGGATAAAAATAAGTTATTCTTTTCCCTTGGAGGAGAGGCATTTTCTTGCTTTCCCATATTTCTTGTGACCTTGCAGTGATTTCTAGTCATCTAATGGATAGTGCGTTTCTTCCTAATTCTTGAAGTTCAGTCTGAGCATTAAGGAGCTTGCAGAGGAGGTGATCTGGAATGTCTTTGCTATTATCCTTTTGTGCAAAAGAGTTAGTAGGTATTGAGGAATATGTTAACCCTAATATTAGTATTTGGATGTTTGGCTATGATTCCCTTAGATCCATCTAGAAACACTGTGAATGGAGATTAAGGAGAAAAGTGATGAGGTAAAAGGAATAAGAAAACAGAGAGAAGGAAAAAAAGAGAGAGAAAGAAGGGGAAAAGGAAAAAAAGAAAAAAACAACCAAAAATATTTATTTTTTTGAAAAAAAGCAAAAAGTAAAAAAAGTGTGGCGTGCTTGCACATTGCGTGAAATGACTAGTTCTCAGCAGCAATGGAGGAGTCTTCTTCTGAAGGCTTGCCCCTTGCCTCTCCTAGAGGGAGGGGGAAATGGGATTATTAGCAAGCTAGAGGATTTGAAAGCCAATTTAAAAAAAAAATTTTTAAAGGAAAAATTACCAAAAAATGCAAAGACAGAGAGAGAGGCAGAGAGAGACAGACAGAGACAGAGAGAAGGCTAAAGGGGTTCTCTACCACTCGAGTTTGAGGGCTGGAGTCTGAATTATCAGTAGAAAATCTTCATTTCTCCTTTGTCCCTGAAATGACTAGTTCTCAGCAGCAATAAAGGAATCTTCTTCTGAAGGCCTACCCCTTCTAAAATTATACTTTCTTTTTTTCTGAGGATGGGCATCAAATCAGAAAGAAGAAATGGTGTTAGAGCTGAGTCTTAAACTGACTTGACAGGTGAGGAAGTAGGAAGGTAGTGTTCTGAGAAGAGGCATAGAAGTATGAGAGCCTGGTATGTTCTAGAAATCTCAAATTGAGGATGGGGAAGGCATGAGCAAGTTTACAACTGAGGAGCCAGTAGAGAAGAAGAGATCGAAGACATAGGCACAGCTATGGTGGCCCAGACAGTAGAAGGCTGCTGCATAGTACTGGAGCCATATCATATGCAAAGGCCTAAGCAGACATTGCTGGTCACCCAGTAAACTGGGTGTGCCTGCAGATGTGCCCGTGCTCTTGACTGGTCAGAAGACTGATGGGGCAGGAGAGGTCACTGCATGACAAGACCCTGTGTCAGGGTCCCTGTCAGTGATCAGGGGTGTGCAGATATGTGCTTTTGTCATGGAAGGAGAGAGGAGAAAGGGAGGAAGGATCAATTTTTATTTATTTATTTTTTTTTTTAAGAAAGATACAGGAGGAGAGGATAAGTTATGATATAGCTCTCTCAAGTATCTCTTGAGCAAAAAAGCTTTGTGGGAAATGGTCCAGGATACATATAACTCCCCCTGGGGAATAAGATTGGTTGTTGATGTGAGCAAGTTATTAACCAGTTTTCAGGATCTGATCACAAGTTTGTACAATCAGCACATGGCTTTTATCTTTCTAGCAACCTAATAGCTTAGGTAAATGAGTCAAGAAAAGTGAAGACTATTACTACCTATTCTAGTGTTTTCCTCTAAAGAAACTGAATTGTGACTTAAGCCTAGAGAGTCAGTGCCATAACTGGCACCAGGAGCTCTACAACTCCTGGATCACCAAAATGTTGGGTGGGTATAATTTAGTTACAGAAGGGGTACGCTGGAGTAGAAAAACTTGAACCAAAATGAGAAACACAGTTTATATAACTCTCTTTGAACCCAGGTTAATTTTATTCTTTTATATAATTTGACAGGTAGCTTTTAAATATTGCCAGAAATATGGAAGTGACAAAGTACGAGTGATAACATTGATGAAGAATCGTGGGAAAGGCGGAGCAGTTAGAATGGTAATACATATTTTCAATATTTTTATCTAAGACATAACGATATTTTGAATAAAACTCTTTTTCAGACTGCAATACATGTAGATTACATATTCGGCTAGTTAGTCTCATACCAGCATTTCATACCTAACATTTCACTATTTAAGAATATTAAAATAGTGAACAACTGAAATGTCCTTGAACTTAACTTTAAGCAACTTTCATTTACTTGAAAATTTTAAATACAGGGTGTATTCAGTTCTCGAGGAGAAAAGATCCTTATGGCAGATGCTGACGGAGCCACAAAGTTTCCAGATGTTGAGAAATTGGAAAAGGGGCTGAATGATCTACAACCTTGGCCTGTGAGTATAAGAATGTATTTTAAATAATATTTAATCAAGTATGCAGGGAGTCTAAAATAAAATTAAAAAGGAGGGACCAGCAGGTGGCTTGGTGGTTAAAGCATTGAATTCCCACATGGCCGACCATGGTTCAAGTCCCCAACCTGGCTACTACTTTAAAATCACACAGGGTGTGTGTGTACATGTATGTCCAAAATCCCAAGAAGAGAATAGGAGAAGGGATTGTGGTGTGATCATCCTCCCTGGAGGGTGATTTCTCACTTTCCTTCTCTCTGTCTCTCTCCTGTGAGCGCATACACCCTATGGCAAAAAGCTTTAAAAAAAAAAAAAGAGAGAGAGAGACAGGAAAGAAAAGGAAAAGGAATTTAACTGAGCCAACCTATGGCCGGTAATTAAGGTAAGTGGATGCCACATGGCCAAGTCCTAGACCTTGCAGCTTAAGAGACTGCCAGCTAGATGTCCATGCATGCCCAAAATCCTGACAGGAGGGAGATGGAGGAGAAGGGATTCAATGTGACCGTGCCCCATGGGGTGGATGCTTTCTACTTTCTCTGTCTCTGTCTTTCTCTCTCTGTTGCTCTCTGGTGAGCACAGACACCCTGTGACAAATTTTTAACCCTGTGGGGGTTATTTAACCTGTAAGTTTAAAAATTAGGAGTTTTTTTTGTGAAATTTTTGTACTATATAAATGTTACAGTCACATAGAAAAGGTAATCATTTTGTTATAAATATTCACTGATTTTCTGAGATTGATTTGGCAATTACGTAGTTAATATTCTGGCTACATCTTTCTCTTGATTTCTAATTGCATAACTACTACCAAGGATTTAAATTTATTGTTCACATTCAGCTACGTCTCTTATGTTAAAGCATATCTTGAGGTTTCCAGATTAGAGCTGAATATATGAAGGTCTCAAAAAGTTCATGGAAAATGCATATTATGAAAATGCTATTCATGGATTTAAAAGAAATTATTTCACCAAGGTCAGGGAGTAAACCAAACAATGAACAGGAAAAAATTGGAAAACTTCTTAAATCCAGTTCCCTTTGTACAGCTATGAAAAGGAAAGGAGTTCTGTTGCCATCTTTGTTTCCTTGCCTTAATCCAATTTTTAGTATATCGTCACTGTAAATACTAAGAGTTCTAAAGAATTAAAGAATATGATTATAATTAAGCTGTTGATTCAGTTTGCACTTTATAGCACCTTCAGGTGCTATAAATATGCCTACTTATTTAAAAGAGTATCACAAACTCACTTGAATTAATTTGAATTCAGTTTGTTAAGTTTTATCACTGTTCATCAGAACACTTTGTGAAGGAGGAAGAAAGGCAGATAAATGATAGGTAAAGTTCTAAAATCCATAGTTTTTGGCTCAACCCAGTGAAAAAAATATTTTCCAGTTGGAATTCATTGTGATTCTGACAAAATTTATAGTCAAATTTATACCAAAAAAAAAAAAGTTCATTTATTTCTTCCGTGAGCAAGAGGGAGGGAGAGACAGAGCGGCATCCATAACAAGACTTTTCAATCCGCACAGTCTCATCCATCCCAGATCTTAGGCACTTCCCTGCCCCAGAGTACACTGGGAGGCCCCAGGATGTGAACCTGTGACTGTTCCGTGAGTCTAGTTGAATTACTGCTGTGTTATCACCTGGTCCCAAACAGTCTGTCATTGCTCTCAGAAAATTTACACTGGGTGGGATCAGCAGATGGTATAATTGTTATATCACTGGACTCCCACGTAATCAACCGCGGTTTGAGTCCCAAACCCGGCAGCGTAAAACTCACGCCAAGTGTGTATGCATGCGTGCCCAAAATCCCAAGAGGAGAATGGGAGAGAAGGGATTGTGACCATCCACTCAGGGGGATGATTTCTTGCTTTCTATCTATTTCTCTCTCTCTTTCTGGCGAGTGCACAGCCCTATAGCAAAAACTTCTACACAGAAAAAAGGAAAAAAAAATTTTACACTGTGAAGGCACCATGCATGGAGGAGTTAGAAGAAAATCTTAATTACTCTAATTCAAATGTCAAACCGTTTCTATAAAGAGCCGTATGGTAAATAATTTCAACTTTGAAGTCGTAGAGTATCAGTGGCACTACTCAACTACAATTATAACACAAAAAAAGGCAGACAATACATAAATGAATGACTATGCCTATATACTAATAAAACTTTATACAAACAACCAGCAGCCCAGATCTGGGCCACCGGGTGTAGTTTGCTTACACTTGATCTAATTCAGTCTTTTTTCCAGTATTCAAAACTTTTCATAACTACCGAGTGACCTTTCAGTATCTACTTGCATAGTTCTAATGATGCCCAAGCAGCTATTCTCAGTTCAGTTATAAATCTCTTCTTTACGGTAAGTGCTAGTCTGTCTCCCCTTTTTTTTTTAAAAAAGAGGTTTTTGCTTTAGGGTCCATGTGCTTGCTGGAAAGAGAAAGAAATAGTGAGACGGAAAGTGAAAAATCACCCCACCAAGGGATTGACCATTCTCCATTCTCCTCCCGGGATCTTGGGCACACATGCGCATGTGCCTGGTGTGAGTTTCAAGCCACCAGGTCTGGGACTTGAACCTCGGCTGGTCATGTGGGAGTCCAGTGACGTAATTGCTATGCCACCTGCTGGCCCCAGTCTTTCTTTAATCAGCTCCTTCACTTGGCTCTACCTTTTGTAGCTACACAGAATAGTCTGCTTCTCTTTGTGATAGTCCTTCTAGTAGTCTAAGCTGTTTTCCATGTGTCTTCTCTTATTTAGGCTGTCAGTAGGTCATCCAGTTTGTAATCATAGCATGTTTATTTTTCTTATCCTGGTAAATTTCTCATTGCGGATGCTTTTCTGTGAATTTGGTTACCACGTTACGTTGTTATCTCCTGCGCCAACTTTTTTTCATGTGCACTGGAACTAAGTCTTTTCTCTCCATCCATCCTTATAGTGGTTTATGGTTATTCATTTGTTTCTGTACATCTTTTGCTTTGTTTTGTTCAGGAATGAAAGTGGTTATTCTCTATTAAACATCAGCTTGTTAGATTTTAGTGTCTACCTATAGGTTCTTATGCTATCTTATTGTAATTGCTATTCTCTTTTCACTCCCTTAAGCCACACATTTGCTAACCTTTACATATATTCCCTTAAGCCCTTAAAAACAGTGACGAGTAGTGTTTTTTTTTTTGGAGAGGTCTTTTCACTCTAGGGTGCATGTGCTTGCCAGACAGACAGAAAGAGACGTAGAGACAGAAAGCGAGAAATCACCCCCCAGGGGGGATGGCCATGCTGCAATCCCTTCTCCTCCATTCTCCTCTAGGGATCTTGGGCATGCACGCACATGCGCCTGGCGTGAGTTTTAAGCCACTGGGTCTGGGACGTGAACCGCGGTCGACTACGTGGGAGGCCAGTGACATAGCCATTTCGCCAACTGCTGGTCCCAGTGACAGGTAGTTTTGAACACAGTGCAGTAGAACGTGAATTACTTACTTAGTGAAGTCCTATAATTATACAATTAATTCACTAGATGGCAGTAGTTAACTGTCCTTTAAAATACTGTTTTGCCCGGTTAAGTAATTTCTCTTGTATATTTTTCAGTGGCTTCTAATTTTTGCCTTTTTTCTCAGCCGATTTTATTTTTTATTGCAACAACAACAAAAAAATTTCTCCTACTTCTTACTAGTATTTTCTCTTAAACAGTTCACATTTCCTGGTCTGATTCTTCTTAGAAGGTCAATTTAGGAAGGTTGTCTACAATTCCTTCACTAAAGATTATAGTTCTTTTGAAATTTTAAAACTAAATGTACTGGGACCCGCAGATGCCATAATAGTTGTATCACTGGACTCCCCATAGGCAACTGTGGTTCAAGTCCTGGACCAGGCAGCTTAAATTCATGCCCAGTGCGTGTGTGCACGTGCCCAAAATCCCAAGAAGGGAATGGAGAAGGAATTGCAGTGTTGTCATTCCCCCTGGAGAGTGGTTTCTCACTTTCTGTCTCTCTGCCTTTCTGGCAAGTGCACATGTGCTATAGCAAAAATTTCTCTCAAAAACAAAAAAAAAAAGAAAAGAAAAAAAAAGGCAAAACTAAATGTACATAATTTAATTAGACCATTTTGTAACACACACAAATAAAATAGGGCATTTACATTTTAGTTCCAAATATATCTTTTCCCATATCTTTTTTTCTTAAGTTATTTACTTATTTATTTCATGAATGAGAGTGACACAAAGGGAGAGAATGATAGACAAAATTCCTAGCAGAGTCTTGATGCCACGATCCACCCCCAGCCTACAGTCCAGGATCATTGTCAAGTGTGTGCCTAGCATACTCAGGAAGGTCTCCAGACTTGAAACAGGAACCTTTGCATGTAGGATTACCTTGCAGAGCATCAGGTTTTACCAGTGCACCATCATCTGCCCACCTTCTTTTTTTTTTTTTTTCCCTCAAATGCAAAGCTTTTCTCCTAGATTTTCAGTTTTTTTTTTTTTGTTGTTCTCCCTCTATTAATAAAAACGTATGCTTGGTTTTACAGTAATTTTTCTAAGCAAGGTATGTGAGGATCAGTTGTTCAGTGACCTGACTCTTCAAATAAGAGTTCAAAAATCCCTTAACAGGCCAGATAGATGACAAAATTCTGCTCCAGAATCATAGAGTACTTACTTAGGCCATACTTAGACCGTAAATTCTCATTTAGACATTCCAACAAATTTAATGAATGTTTAGACTTTTAAGCCTACAAATGACAAGAAGTAATGCATATTAATGAGATATGGAGTAAAATTACGTAAGAAAAACTGTAGAAAGCAGATAGTAACTATACACACACACGACTCAGTCTGGAGTGACTGCTTATTAATAGCCTTGAATGTTTCTTTGGCCAGATGTGGTCTTGGTACACTGGTGTTTCATATGTGAATGCATGTTTTAGTTTTCCCTTAAAAGAAAATTACAAGGACCAGCAGATGACATAATGGTTATGTCGCTGGACTCTCACATACTCGACTGTGGTT